GATTGAAGAAGACTGTGTTATATATAGTTCTATGTAGAATTCTTGGTTCTTCAAGAGTTTTTGAGTAAAGAAAATGGTTCTATGTAGAACCACGAACACTCAAAGAACCCCTTGCATGATTACAGGGTTCTTTGCATCATGAAAGTGTTCTTCACATTGATGGAGACTGTGTTGTATATTGATCTATATAAAACCTTTTTTTTAAATGGTTGTATACACTCTTAAAAACAATGGCTCTTTAGTAAAGAAAATGGTTCTATATAGAACCATGAACACTCATAGAACACTTTGCATGATTAAAGGGTCCTTTGCATTGTGAAAGAGTTCTTCAGATTGATGGAGAATGTGCTGTAGACGGTTCTATATAGAACCTTTTTGGAATGGGTTCTATATTGCACCCAAACGGCTCTGCTATCGTAACATCAAGTTTGTAACAATAGCAAAACCCTTTTTGGTGCCATATAGAACCATATTCAACACACTCTCTGTCAGTCTGAAGAACCATTTCACCATGTAATCATGCAGGTGGTTCTTTGAGTGTTCATGGTTCTATATTGAACCCTTGTGTTTACCAAAGAACCCTTAAAGAAGCATCTTTATTTGAGTGTAGACTGCAATAAATGGGAAGAGAAAAGGGAAAAAAAATGTTTCCATGGTAACAGCAGTCAGCCTGCGGAGTAATGAGTATGACTGGTGTTAGATATAGAGGTGAATGTCCCAGTGACTTCACTCTACGTGTGCGTGACTGTGTCACAGTAGTGTCTGGTTGCATGAAACACCTTAAGATGTTTCTTGAAGTATGAACTGTAAGGGTAGGATCTCCCTCACCAAAGGGAATTCATGAAATTCGTGTTACTTGATATCGAAAACACTGAGGGGTGACTGAGGTTTACTACAGTAAAATCCAACCGTATCCATGACAGCATTCGCTCATTAATGGAACTTAGGATTAGCAGCCAATCTAGAATAGCTAACTACTGAAACTAACTCTCCTAAATCCGCTTTGATAAGCTGACGAAAAATGAACTGCCTAGTTTAACCATCGGTGATGAGCGTCTTCCTCTCGGTGGACTCTAACAAGTGAAGATCTCCCACTATTGGCTTAAAGCTCCACTGGAAACAATTCATGAACATGTTTAATACAGTCAGCGCAAACGTTTTGACTGGCATTGCATTTGCCGACCTCTTGTGTAAAATCACTCAGTGGTTGGCCATTTTGCAGGTCAGTCAATCACTTTACTGACAAAGGAGGCAGCCTTTAACCAAGTTCAGCAATGACGTTCCTCAGTCTCTTTGTGAGCAGAGCAGAGTAAAGCTTCTCACAGCTTCAAATAAAATCTCTCTTTCTAACAAAGACATATGTTGAGTTGTTGCATGGCTGCTAATAACCTCATTTTTTCTAAAAAGAAATAAAAAAAAGCCTTGACTTCATTGGCTGACGCATTGGCTGCGAGCTAGGCAGGCTAACACAGTTCACAACACACAGTCAATCTTAAGGGAACCGGGCACAGTTCTGTTTTTCTCAGAACATAAGGTCAGATAGGTGGTCAGTAATGATTCATTAACATTTGCGGTTACCTCAGTAGGTAGAACCCTGAAACTCTGTATTCTCTATTTATTCGCATTTAAATACAGTGACACCCAGTTCTCATAAGGATTTGTAATGTTCTGGCTTTATTTCTTTATTTCTTTATTTAGAAGCCACAATTATGACAAAAAGAAAAGCTATAATTTTATTTGAGCTACTTCTGACCTGTAGCTCTTTGAGACACGTGGAAAAATTCTCAGGCTTCACAGTTGGTATGAGGTTCTTGTGCTCAAATGGTGTGTCTGGTTTGTGCTAAACGTCTTCTGTTACTGTCAAATGAATCAACATTGGATTCATTCAAAAGCACGTCGTTCTAGAAGTCCTTGTCTTTGTCTAGCTGTTCTCCAGCAAACATATAAAGCGATATATATATGCATCATGTTCTTTATGACTTCATGACATCTTTTGTGGCAGTTGGATTTGAAAACTTTTCTCGGTAACACTTTACTGTAGGGTACGGTTCATAAGGCTACATGACATCTAAATAAGCTTGTCATGACAACTGACATAGACCTACATAAATGTTTATAAATGCCTATTCCAACAGACGTCATTTGCTATAAAGGTTGTATTTGCCAATTTTGATCAAAGTTAGCTAAAGTAGCCTTTGTGACAGATGATGCCTATAGGAATAAGCATTTATAAACATTTATGTAGGGTTATGTCAGTTGTCATGGCAAGCTTATGTGCATGTCATGTAGCCTTATGAACCGTAAAGTGTTACCCTTTTCTCTAAGATCCTGTAAAATTTTGTGGTTCCACAGTCAGTCCAGCTTAATGACTTCATAACGTCAAAAAGTCCAAAGTAACATCAGTAACTCTCGACTTCTAAGAGTTAATCAGCCGCTCGGCTAAACTGACAATGTGAGGATTCACTCCCATCTCTCCTTGCTCTCCTTGCTCTTTGTGCTCTGGCACCTTTTTTCAAACTTTGAATGAGGCTTCCTCTGTTTTGCCGTCCTTCATCAGCATCTCGAGAGCCCGTCCTCGACTGCCAGGCTTTTGTCGTTCAGTCCTCTTTTCTGCACCGCTGAAATGCAAACAGGAAGAAAAACATGCAGTACGGATGTCAGTTGGAATCCAGCCTTTTGGCTTCTTCTCTGTTCACCTACACATTGGAGTGCAAGGCTGTGGAGAAACCTCATGCTTCATGTGTTAGTCATTGCTCTACCTACTGCCAGCAGCAGCGCTCAGGGCCTCTGCTGGAAATCTGACAGTATATAGCAGAGCTGCATGATATGGGTAGAGCACTATACTGCATTCTTTTGCTGTGTATGATAAGCGTGACATGGTAACAATAGCAGAACCTTTTTGGTGCTGTTTTCAAAAAGGTTCTATACAGGACCATATACAGCACATTCCCCATCAATCTGAAGAACCATTTCACCATCCAAATACGACCATTTCCTTTATTAAAGAATCCTTGAAGAACCATCTTTTAAGTGTGAGTTAAAGACTGGCCTGCATTATTTTGACGAAATATATTTACATTTTATGGTTCACATCAATAATATGATATGACAAAACTTGTCTGGAACATCTGTGTGATTGCTTGAAATGCTTACAGCACATCGTATGGTTAGTTTTCATGCTCTGCCTGTGGAGCTTTCCGGAATTTTGGCTAAAATTCAGTTCAACCCCGGAATTGTAGCACATTTTGTTTAGAGTCACTATACATGCACCCAATAATCTGATCAAAGTTGGAACATTCTGGATGTCTGCAGTTATCTGATTATTCAAATAGCCATGTAAACAGCACACTCTGATATCTTAGATCAGTGTAAGGTCTAGAAATCTGATTAAGAAATCTGATAAAGAGAGCTGGATTTTAGCTCAGTAATCAGATTTCTCAGTGCATGTAAACACTTACTCTGATTTCTTTTCGGATTTCTCAGTCTGCGCAGGTGCGAAACAAATGGCGGTGCTGGAAATAAGCGAGCAGTGTTGCCGCAAGACGCAGCAAAACACTTTTGGAGTAACGCTGATGCTTGATGACATGAAGGATTCAAATATTCTTCATGTTCTAAATGATGTATGTTTATATTTTCAGGTAAAGTGGCGCAATTTTTACCAAAAAAGGCGCAGCATGAAGTTTGGGTTTTACTTTAGGTTTACATCACGTCTTCTTCTGTGAGTTTATTGGCTTGCCGACAAAATCTGATTTTCTGCAGTTACTGGATTATTAAGTGCATGTAAATGCACTCATTGAGTTTCCAGTAAAGCTTGTTTCTGCTTGGATATTTCTAATTAATATAATCAAATGAAATATTTTTCTCTCTAACTTTGTCATCAAATTAACTGGAACTCTATTGTCACTATGTGTTGAGCTGCTAGTGAGCAATGATGGGTGAAAGGGGAGGAGTGAGAACAACCTGCTGTGAAAATGAGTCCCGCCTCTGCACAAAGACAGCTGTGCTGAGATAAAATGCACAACTGTTGTTTTCTTCACATCAAAAAAACCGCCATTTAAACACTATAAAAACACTTTTAGAAATGTTGACGAAAACCCAGTTCACCTCTGTTGTTTTAAAACACAGACATTTTCATAAAATTAAATTCCATTATTGTTATTGAACAAAAATTAGGCATAGTTCAAGTGAAAGACACCCAAGAGATGTAGAAATTGCTTTTTATGGCTTCTTTGCAATTGAAATTATTAACACAATCTAAATCCAGTTATTTTGACAACTTTCACAATAATTTCTAATTAGGCTGAATGGAATTCTTGCCCACATTCTGTAGGAGGCTGTCCAACCTCATAACAGTTGTTTAATGGGTCATTTGCATATTGCAGCCATCAGTAATATCAGTATTGCACCGGCCAATATTAAAATAACATTTAATAAATGATAAATGGTGCAGTGCTACAATGTAGTACATCATGATTACATTAAACTGTGCAAATCAGTGGTACATTTCCTGTGTGTTAGATGTAAATTGTTTTTATGATAGATGTTTTGTTGCTCTGTGTGGCACAAACTCATCGGCAGCTGGTAGAGGCCACTTCCTGTTGTCCACAGCAACATGACGCATTTTCCTTACTGTTGATGGATGGGCTTTGTTTTGCTCTTTGTCAACAAGGTAGACAGCGCTTAATGAATCCAGTATGGGAATCGATTGAGTGGCTGGAAGGGTTTGCGTGCCCGTGTGCGTGTATGTGCACGTTTTTGACAAATTTTCTCAGTAAATTGGGAGAAAAAAGGGGGCTTTGGAAATGAAACGTGGTGCAAATGCCAGTAACATGAACTGCTTGTAATCACAAACACTAAAGAACCACATGATGCAAAGGTTCTACAAAGACTTTTCCTAAAACTATGTGTCCGAACCAAGAACCATTTAGGAAACTTTATTCTGAAGAATAAATCCTTGCATAATTTCTACTTTTCTCCTCTCTTCTGTCTTTGTGTGTCAGACAAGAAGCGAGGGAAACCATTGGAGGAGTCCTCATCCACTGTATGTGGAGAACAGAGCAGTAGTTCCACTCTGAAAGGCGAGGACATCCAGGCCCTGTCCGTCAGACCTGAGCACCTGGAGAAGGTAAAGCTAGCTCACAGCACTCAAGTTACATCAGTCCTGCTCCTGGAGATCTGCCGAAGATCAGACATATGGATTTGGATATGTGAGGTGGCACTAGATTTTATGGCTGATCTGTACTATGCTGTTGGTTTAGGCCAGGGATCGGCAATGTGCGGCTCTGTTACTGCCCTGTTGCAGCTCCACAGCAGAATTAGATTTGCAGGTAAAAGTAAAATAATCCTCCTTTGCAGTAAAACAAAGCTCGGCTGATCGTTCAACATAGTTTTAACAAAACGCTGGAGTTAATGTAGCCTATAACTGCTAATTCATCCTTTAACCCCGAAGGTTGGCACACAGACTGCTGGTCACGCAGCAATGCAGACAACAATCTCACCTAGGCAAGAAGAAAGATTTAAGATGAACATGGATAACTTGGAGACGAATGGACTTATTTGTGTTTATAAGCACTCTAGCTGGTTTCCTGATATGTGTAATCTGTGACAAGAAACTGTCAAACACTAAAAAGTTGCGAGGCTGAAGTCAGCTTCTTGTTGGAATTTTCCTGTTCCACCTGAAATGGTGCCTCCTGCACCATCTGAGGTGGAATGGGAAAATTCAAAGGAGAAGCTGGCAAATGAGACGCTGACTTCAGGCTTGTAAAAAATCAAACGTTGAGACATTTTACAAGAAACTATTCAACTTTTGGAAAAGTGTCTTGCCAGAGATGTGAGAAAAGCACATTTTTCTAGCTGAGCTAAAGCTTAAAGCAGAACAAAGTAAGCCTGCGTTTTTGTTTATATTATATTTTTTAGCCTGTACTAACACATTAAAACATACTGAGACATGTTTACAGCTAATATGGTAGAATGAACATAAAATGTTGTGGCTCCCAAGGTGGTTTGATTTTTGCTGAAAGGACAAAATGGATCTTCTTAACTTTTGGGTTGGTTTGATTTTGTTGGTTTGGACATGGGGGCTAGTCTCACGAAGCAAAATTTGAAGCTGTCTGTCCTCAGAGTCTGGTACATTTTGGCCACAAACTACCTACTTTGACAGGAAACTGACCTGCAAATCAACCAACCACAGAACACTTCTTCAGGGCTGACGTAGAGGAAGGAGATTCTTCAAAACAGGGTCGTAACAAGAACAAATCTGTAGTAAACAAATACATGAGAAACCCGTGAGAATATTTCACTTAAAAGCTGCAAAGATGTGATGTCATTAATTTCACTTTTTTTTAATCTGTCACACCTTGCTTGCAGGTGAGGGTAGATATGCTCTGAGAAGGTTTGTGAGTTGTAAGAAAAAGCAATGGCAAACCACAATAGCACATTCAGTGCAAGGGGTGTTTATTTAGTGAAAGGTGTCGAGAAAATAACAAAATGCTGAGAAAAAGAAAAAATAAATAAACCAATAAACAAAAAACTATTTACAGAATACATTATAAACTTTGAGGATGTAACAGTCTCCCTCAAAATACATTGTCAATCAACCAACTATCTCCTCTCTCTACAGAAGAACATTGAGCTCCTTAAATAGACATCCCATCTACCCAACCCAGCACATACCAGTCCTTCACCTCTGCAGGGGGAAACAATAATAACCATCAATAATAACTTATGAAATAAATACCAAATCCAAGAAAAGCTTGTTCACAATGGATTCTTGAATCATAAGCTAAAAAACACACAGAATGAACAAATGAAATAAAAAAAAACACATTTCAAACTATATGAACCCCAGGAACCGCCCCCCCCTCCAAATGGATCACTCCAACAGGGCTCTACTGAGCATGTCTGAATTTTGCCCAGGTGTTATTTAAGGACAGCTCAAACCAAGCTTGGGCCTTTTCCCAGACCATGAAATACTGCAGCTCATGTAAGTAATGTATGTTCTAAACCTGCTAGCATCATGATGTAAAAGCCAGTAGCATACTTTAACTGTAAGAGGTGATATTATGTACCAAGCTAGCAAACACTGAGATTGCAGTGAGAAGTAAACAGCAGCATTAGCTGATAAAATGGTGAGAGAAAGTGTATGAACTACTGTAAGACTAGAGCAGAATGGGACTGAAATAAGGGGGAATATGAAAATGGAAATAGATTTAACCAGGGAAACTAGTTTGTTCGTTCTGTCACACTGACGCCTATACCTCGCTTTGAAAGGCTCAGTCAGAGCACACATTGCTTGCGTTCATGTGTTTTCCACTGCACTGATTAAATCTGGCGCACTAAAATGTGTACACAGCTATGAAAAAGCAAATCAGAATGCAACTCAGACTAGTACTAAACCAGCTCATGTGAGGTAGGCATAGATCAGATCTTGATTTATCAGACTCTCTGGAAGGAGGAGATGCTCCTTGACACCTATCCATTTTGAATCTTTACATGCTGTTCTTTCTGTCTGTGTACATACAGCTGCGGGCCCCTCAGCCACCAAAAGATTCCCAGAAGCCCCGTGCAACAACCCTGTGTGCTAGTCCGCAAGACACGCCCCCTTGAGGAGGTCAGAACAGGTGTGAAGGTTGCCGTGGCAAGACCCCTGCCGCAGGATGCAGCACCACTGCCACTGGACTACACAGGTAGTAAGGGCTTTAGTGGCTACACTGGTCACTCTGTGGCATTACATGTTGGCATTCAAAGCCTACTAAGCTTGCTACTAGTTGCTGACACTGTTACCTGGCTCAAGTTAAGAGTGGCTTCAAAATGTTCACTGTATTTAGAGATTGCTTTAATCATTTATAAGGTCCAGGAGGCCCACGCTTTGATGCCCAGGGCATGGTCCTGCCCCACAGCATTCTGGGAAGTCTGGAGGACTTTAGAAGAGAGATGGAGGCCAGAGGAGAGATGGAGGTGAGCTTGTCTTGCTCGGTATTGATTTTCCATTTGCCAGATTAAACCTAGACAAATTTGGACTTGGGTGAACTCATGGGTGAACTACCACTCATACTGCAGTTTAATCCAAAACTAGGTTTAATCCATGTTATTGAAAACGTCCCTCAGGCTTTTAGGTTTTATTCAGAACAGTGGTGCAGATTATCTAAAACGCTACTCAAGTCATATTTATACATATAACATCTGCATTAGCATTTAATTGTGTTCAGCCGTTGATATCATTCTCTCGCAGCTAGTTAAGCGAATTCCTGATCTGAAAGACAAAGCACCCTCTGGAGACTGGAGAGCAGAAGAACAACGAGAAGGTCAAATCCCTTCCGAAGAGTGAGTGGGATCTTCAAGGCCACGCTCTCCAGAACTGGAATTATCACATGACAGAGAGACGCAGACAGCAGAACTTCATCTCACGTGAGTTTGAAACTAGCGCTTCATATCAGTGAAGGCATCTGAAATGCAGTCAGAAACAGGACCAAGTATACATAGCAAATAGAGTTAGGACTTACTACATTAGTACAGCGTGACATTGATGCAAACCTGCAGCCTTGCATTAACCACCAAAAATGGAGATGTTTTCCAGCCCACAGCTGAAGAAGGTGAACCTTCATCTCTGAACCTTCATATCCATCCCAGAGAATATCCAGAACCTTAACCTTTTTCTCGACCTCACACATCAGCTTCTTCTGAACCTGAATCTCCATAATCTTGATCTTCATCTCCACCCCACAGTATCAGCTTCTTCTGAACCTGATTCTCCAGAACCTTGATCTTCATCTCCACCCCACCGCATCAGCTTCTTCTGAACTTGAATCTCCAGAACCTTAATCTTTCATATCCATCCCACAGCATCAGCTTCTTCTGAACTTGAATCTCCAGAACCTTAATCTTCATCTCCACACCACAGCATCAGCTTCTTCTGAACCTGAATCTCCAGAATCTTAATCTTCATCTCCATCTCCACCCCACAGCATCAGCTTCTTCTGAGCCTGAATCTCCAGAACCTTGATCTTCATCTCCACCCCACAGTATCAGCTTCTTCTGAACTTGAATCTCCAGAACCTTAATCTTCATGTCCATCCCGCAGCATCTGCTTATTCTTCTCATGAATCTCCAGAACCTTAATCTTCATATCCATCCCACAGCATCAGCTTCTTCTGAACTTGAATCTCCAGAACCTTAATCTTCATATCCATCCCACAGCATCAGCTTCTTCTGAACCTGAATCTCCATAATCTTAATCTTCATCTCCATCTCCACCCCACAGCATCAGCTGCTTCTGAGCCTGAATCTCCAGAACCTTGATCTTTATCTCCACCCCACAGTATCAGCTTCTTCTGAACTTGAATCTCCAGAACCTTAATCTTCATGTCCATCCCGCAGCATCTGCTTATTCTTCTCATGAATCTCCAGAATCTTAATCTTCATATTCATCCTACAGCATCAGCTTCTTCTGAACCTGAATCTTTGGATTTTTAACCTTCATATCCATCCCACAGCATTTGCTTCTTCTGGTCATGAATCTCCAGAACCTTAATCTTCATATTCATCCTACATTATAAGATTCTTCTGAACCTGGATCTCCAGAACCTTAATCTTCGTATACATCACACAGCATCTGCTTCTTCTGCTCATGAATCTTCATAGTCTTAATCTTCATATTCATCCTACAGTATAAGCTTCTTCTGAACATGGATCTCCAGAACCTTAACCTTCATATCTATCCCACAGCATTCAATTCTTCTAAACATGAATCTTCATAGTCTTAATCTTTAACTCCATTCCACAGCATCTGCCTCTTCTGAATCTGAATCTTCAGAACCTCCATCTTCATCCCACAGCATCTGCTTCTTCTGCTCTCCAACAGCACCATGGGTGCCTTTGTACTGTCCAATCACTTCCACTGTACAGGAGTGTCCAACTCTTCAAGGCCAGAGTTGGGTACAAATTGAGGTTCTGCAAGCAAACCCTTTAGGCTGTGGGCTAGAAAACGTCTTTAGTCTCTCATATATACTACTCCTTTTTTTGCTAATTGTAAACATTTGCTGGAGTAAGTAACTTGTTCTGCGCGGATGATGCCTGCCACCTTATTACAGATTTGCTGAAAGTAATCAGTGGCATAATTGTCCACTTATTCTTGTCCAGAGCAGCTTACAGAAGTGCATTGTTGTCTACTTAGAAAATGCACCCATAAGCCTGTGCAAATAGACAGAAGTCCAAAGATGCCCCTGAACTAAGGCACTTCCAGAAACAAGAGTCAGTGCTGATGCCTAGATACGATGATACACAATGCAGGAATATTACTAATTGCAACAGTTGTGATTAGTTTGAAATGGTGAGGAATAACATACTTTAATCATTAGCTTACAATAGACAAGTTACTTGGTTGAGTAAATCACTTTGACTTGAAGATTTTCATGTTTTAAGATTAAGTGACCCATATAAGTCCCACAACGGGGAAATTTCACCTCTGCATTTTACCCATCCGTGCAGTGAAACACTACATACCAACTAGTGACACACTAGGGGGCAGTGAGCACACTTGCCCAGAGTGGTGGGCAGCCCTGTCTGCAGCATCCAGGGAGCAGTTGGGGTTTAGGTGTCTTGCTCAAGGGCACTTCAGTCACGTAATGTCGGCTCAGGGGATCAAACCAGTGACCTTCCGGTCACAGGGCTGGTTCCCTAACCTCCAGCCCACGATTGCCCATTTGTTGTACTGGGGCCCATGAGATCCTAGTTATGCCACTGTTTGTGTTCAATCTTCAGTAAAAGTAAACACTAGATGTTAAAGCCTCTGCAGTCAGGCTCATTGCTTTGCAGAGTCGTGATATCAAGCCTAGTCTTCGCACAGTGGTTAGAAGCACCTCATGAAGATTCAGGTGGTGAGAGTGAACCCATAAGCCTACGTACTCTGATAAAATAGCCTCATCTCACTGCTGTTGCATAAAGCTGCTTGAAGCCCCGGGGGCTGTAGGATCTACGTTGCATAACTTACTGATCTTTCTGGTTGTGCTATAGGCCAGGCTACCGTATTTGGAGATATAGATACAAAGTAATGACTCAGTATGAATCTGATTACTGAAGCCGAAGGTAATCCCTCTAGCGTGTGTGTGCGTCTCCTACTCAGTGCTTCGCCTCTTCACGCTAGTGTGTGAAGCTCCACATAACACGTCCACTATCTGGCACAGAGCAGGGTGAATCATTCTGCGCTGGGCTGGCTTGCTTTCCCCCATGACAGGCTCGCAGGCTTACTGACAATAATGAGGGAATGCGTAACCACTGCATGGTTACAGAGGATTCTGAAGCGTTTATCGAGTATGTTAAAAGACCGAAAGTCCTGGGGAAAATCTAATTTGCACAAATTTCTCCATTCCCAAAAAGGATTATGCTCATGAAATCCGACAAGTAGTGAGACCCAACCTGAAAGTATTTAAATGACTAAACCGTAATGTTTTCTTGGTCACATTTAAATGCATTTAAATTGATTTAAAGTGACCAAAGGGTACCACTTTTAAGATAGGACTAACCTTTTAAAGGATATATAGATGGTTTAAAAATGGTTTGTTAGTGGTTTAGTTTTGTCAAACACTTCATTATTCATTAATAAGCAGTTATAACACATGAACAAAGGGGCAAAAGTAAGGTGTATCTGATGAATATGAATATTTAATGCTGACTGATGAAGAAGCAAAAGTAACTTCAGTAAACATCAGAATCTGAGGTTTAACTGTATAAATTAATGTGGATTTACTATTAGGCAGACAAAAGGTCACTGTTGTCCTTTTTATGTATGTGTTGTAAATGCTTATTAATGATTTTACGGTCGTTAAGACCTAATTAATAACAATTAATAAACTCATTTTAAACCATTCATGAACGTTTTATATCTGTAGTCTTTTTTTGCACTGTTTGGGTTGGAAGAAGTGGCATTTCAGGTTTTTTATGTACATAAGGACAAAGAAATGACAAAGATCTTAATATTTATATTAATTACAGCATTTAAATAAGTTTTTTTTTTTTGTGTATGTAATAGATGGTGATGAATCAAAAATATTTTGGTTGTACTATTTGCCTTAAGTACCTGCCCAGGGTGTTTCTTGCCTTCCACCAAATGACCGCTGGGACAGGCTCCAGCACCCCTGAGACCCAGAAGGATAAGTGGTTTAGAAAATGTGTATATATTTGCCTTAAGTACCTCTCCACCATAAATGAATGTTAAATATGTTTTAGGCCAAAATGTTTTCAAAACTAATCATAATACAATAATCTCTTAGACCTCAGGCAGTGCATTCATAACTATTTCATGTAATAACTTTTCATGAAGGATCTTTTAGATTTAGGTTTACACAATTTTCCCCTTACCCCAAATATTTCATCAACCAAGACATTAAGCATTTTTCAATTCTTTTGAAACACATTATGAGCATCCAGCTTCATCAAATATCCAACTGGCACATTTTTCCCTTAACCCAAATAGTCAATCAGCCAACACACGTCAAGCATTTTTCTCCCCATTAAAACACACTATACATTAACAGCTTCATGAAAAATCCCATTTATTCAGTTTTCCCCATTCACCCAAATATGCGTAGCTGTACAGCGCAAATATGCTAAGACATGTTGTGTTTTCTTCCCTCCACTGACAACACATTATTATAAAAATCAAATTTCCACAATTTTCACCTTACCCCAAATATTCAATCAGCCAAGACACCTTAAGTGTTTTTCTCTCCACTGAAACATGCTAAAAGGAAACAGCTTAATGTGGATTAATGTCGCAAAACCTAATAAACCCAATAAACCTACTTTCTGCTGCCAGTAGAACACAACTGTAATCCAAAGACAGAACATTAATTTTTGGGTTAAGCATTTTTCTCTTCATTGAACTGCATTTTAAGGAGAACTGTTAGAGTTAAGCATTTTAGAATGTGCAAAAGAACAGCTCTGCATAAAACTTCATGCTTTTTCTTGAGATTATGAGGTCATTCTGTTGGCAGTTGAGTGTTTACGGTCAATGAAATGTGACCGATGTTTGGTGTTACTAGGTCATTTTTTTTTGCTACATTAATTACAAGAAATATACAAATGAGCAAAAATTTATTTGAATTTGGCAAAATTTCAATGAAAACGGAAAAAAAATTGAAATATGATAAAAGCTTAAAAGTAGTTAATCTGAGAGCTATCTGGGTGTGGCCTAATATTCTGATGAGCGCCTGTGATTGACGTCCTCAGTCCGACACTCCCAGTCTGCTACATTACTGAAGCAGGACTGACAAACATTATATAGCTTTTATATGGCACAGGGGCGTAGCCAAGTGGTGTCCAGAGGTGGCTGGCCACCCCTCTGGCCACACCAGTAAAACACCTGAGTCAGCAGTTCGCCATCATCAATGACGCAGTCACCACAGAAAAGCTCTGCTACTTTGTGTGAAGAGTTTTATGATGTAAATCTGCCATCAGGGCCGTTACCAATGAGCCATGATCTGATGCTGCACTCAGTAATCAACGTATTTCACAGACGAGTGAACTCAAAACAGTAGGTTTTAGTATATAATGATTCTTTATGTAATGTGAAGCAGGAAAACAGACGGCATGTCCCATAATTCCCTGCATGTCCTGTGTATGGTGTTATAGAGCTGCTGCAGAAGCCAGTGGAGGATCTGCTGATGAGCCAGTCAAACAGATTCAGAGAGATTCAGGAACAAAGAGAAGTCATCAGCAGAGGCCTACCTGCCCTAGAGTCTGGACATGTAATTAACATCTGTCTCTCGCTGTCTCTCACTATCTCTCTCTCTCTCTCTCTTCCTCTGTACATACACTATATAGCCAAATATATGTGGACAAACCTCCTAATCATTGAGTTCAGGTGTTTCAGCCATATCCATTGTTAACAGGTGTATAAAATCAAGCACAGAGCCATGCAGTCTCCATAGACAAACACTGCCAGGAGAATGGGTCATACAGAAGAGCTTAGTGACGTTAAACATGGCAGTGTCATAGGATGCCACCTGTTCAGAGTTTAAAGGTGCCTCTAGAAGCCACATCAGCACAAGAGCTTCAAAAAATGAAAAAAAAGTGAAGAATCGCACTTCACTTTCTGGCAGACTGATGGACAAATCCGCCAAACTCAGATTCGTCCATCAGACTGCCAGACAGTGAAGCGTGATTCATCATTCTGGAGAGCACGTTTTCAGTCCAGTGGTGGAATGTTTTACACGACTCCCGCCAATGCTTGGCATTGCGCGTTGTGATATTGGGCTCATGATAGGTCATTTTTACACACTACACGCTTCAGCACTCGGTAACCCCACTCTGAGTTTCGTGACTGAGCTGTTGTTTCTCCTAGACACTTCTCTTTCACAATAATTGCTCTAATAGTGCCAGATCATGGAGGACAGAAATTTCACAAACTGCGGCCAAGCTGGCATCCTATAACAGTGCTATATTTAAAGTCACTGAGCTCTTCAGTACGACCCATTCTACTGCCAGTGTTTGTCTATGGAGACTGCGTGGCTACGTACTTAATTTTATACTCGTTTAGTGGTCGACCGGTTAATCAGTCGGCCGATTAATCAGGCCGATTAATGCCATTTTGAGATAATCAGCGTCAGTCGATGACTGCGCTAAAATGTCTGCAGACACATCTGCGGGCAGCCAAACACTGTTACGCTCCCCTGTGTGTTAATTTTGCCATTCTACTGGCAGACGGCAGTAGGTACTGTAAAGTAGTGGGAAACATGTTGGATGAAATGTTTCCTGAGAGAAAACAGTAAGACTTAAATTTGTATCTTTCAAAGCTCAGTGTGTTTAATTGGCCGTTCTTAATAACATAGGTAGTGTTTAATATCTGTATCATTAGATTCATTCTGGTCTTTAGTGACAAAATGTGAACAATGTCAGTTGGGAGTTGTAAAGGTAGCAAGACTTTAACCATTAAATTAGCTTACAGGATAATATGTGATTGTGTGTGTGTGTGTGTGTGTGTGTGTGTGTGTGTGTGTGTATATATATATATATATATATATATATATATATATATATATATATATATATATATATATATATATATACACACACACTTATGAAGTCCATAACTGTAATGTGAACGCAAAAACATATACTGTAATGCTACTTCATTACAGAGAAATGTAAACACAACTTTAACATGTTTCTTTGTACTGTGTAACCCCAGCACTGGCCATATTTATCTCTAGTAAGATGCTTGCTGTTTCAGGCAGAATGTCCTGAAACCTGGCCTAAACAGCTCAGTACATCTGGCCCTCAGCGTCTCTTCATTGTACTCATGCATGATTCATTATCAGCAGATGTTCACTGTCATTAGTGTATTTAGATATTCCATGTTTGATGCTTAAAGTGGGTGACTTTTTAGTTTTAGGCAATGGATAAACTGAATAATGGTATAATTAGTGTTTTATTGTACACTCACTAACTCTTGTTTCTCTCTGTGTGTGTGTGTGTGTGTGTGTGTGTGTCAGGGCTGCCGTGTGGGCAGTGAGTTCTGGAGTGTTCCGCAGCATTTTGGTGATGAATTGAGTGGAATCACGGCCACATTAACCCAGACAGAAAGAGGCAACCCTCAACCCATCACACACATCGCACAGCCACACAGCACACGCCTGGAGTCAGGTACACTCAGATATGCTCAGATGAACAGTTGTATAATTGATGTATCCAAGCTCTGGCCATGCTCTCTTTCATAGCTATTTGGTTTATTAGGACAAGCTTCACAATACAATAGTAAAAATATAATGGTAACACTTTCTATGAATGTCATCTTTGTAAGCATCTATAAACACATTCATAAAATGTTATAATGCATTCATAAGGCATTATAAACATGGCTATAAATATTTATAAAAATGCATTACACGTTATAGCCATGCTTATTATGCATTATGAATTGTTAACATAATACATTATAAGTACTGATCATAACAAATTATAAGAGCCCATAAGTTGTATATGTCCGCTCTAAGTGAAGCATACTGTACTAAAGCCTCCTCCAGTGTTAAGAGTGAGGCTTCAAGTTGAAGTATTTACTGAAGGATTTACTGAAACACTAAAATATACACAATAAAGCACATTACAGGCTTCAAATGTCAGAGTTTAAACTAGTGCTGCCATTAGTGTTTTACCCAATGTGGGAAAGTCAATGTACACCACCGTTAGCTTGGTATTTGTCTTTACTTTACGCTCTCCAAGCTGGGACTGACTTCTTTGGCACTGACAGTATAACATGTTATCAACACTACTTATAATGCATTATATTAACAATTCATAATGCTTAATAAACATGGCTATAAAGTGTAATCCAGTGTAATTCATTTTTATGAATGTTTATAATCATGTTTATAATGCTGTATGAATGCATTATAACATGTTATAAATGTGTTTATAGATGCTTACAAACGTGACATTCATAGAAAGTGTAAATATAATTGACCCTAATGAGAAATTGAGATTTTTAGATATTTTTAAATTTAATTTATTTGGTATATATATATATATATGAAAAGCCACAGTGTAATTTTTTTTTTGTCATGAAATCAAGATGCGTGTAGCTTATGCAATATGATAAAAACGAACACATTGGAGTGGAAATAGGTGGGAAAATTAGCTGTGCATGTGAGCAGGCTGAATTATATGGTTTGATGGTTGTATGTACTGTCTTTATGTGTGAGTGTGTATGGCTGGTTGTGTGTGCTCACATGTTTGTACTATGCGTGTATGTAGGTTCTGTGCTGTCTGATGGCTCAGTGAGTAGAGCCTGGAATCACAGTCAGTACCTGCAACGTCGCCAACATGAACTCAGAGACATACTGAGAGAGATGGACTTTAACCAGCCGGTAAAACACAAACACACACACACTGTTTTAAAACAGAACAATAGAATAAAATGTCCGGAATCAAGATAAGTTGTATAGAGTCAATGCAATGTACTTCTTTAGTCCGGTCTCGGTCACCACTCCGGTCTTGAGAGCATAACAGTCTCTCGGTCTTGGTCTTATCTCTGTCTCAATGTCATTTGGACTCGGTTTTGTCTCAGTTTACACACAGTCTTGTCTTGGTTGTCTCACTCTCCACATTATTAGGACTCTGGTCTTGACATCATTTGTACTTGGTCTTGTCTCCGTCTGCAAATAACTTGGATATGGTCTTGTCTCGGTCTTAACATCATTTGGATTCGGTCTTGTTTTGGTCTTCATCATTTGGACTCAGTTTTGTCTCTGTTTACACATCATTTGGACTTGGTCTCGTCTCTGTCATGGGGTAAGGTGGACTCAGAAGTTGTTCTTCTGACAGCCGAATGCAACACCTCCATCTGATGTAACTGGAAACTGAACTATTTTTATGTCATTACTGAACATCAACAAAACCTTCAAACAGAATGAAACAGACCTTTCTCTACAAGTTCATGTCTTGTTATATTCAGAAAAAAATCTTAATCTTGACTACAACACTAGCACCTTCACCAATCACAAGGCTGATGTGACTTTTCCTGCCTACACAGCTTTAACTATGATCTCTCTGTGTTCAGTCAGAAAAGCTTACCCAGAGAAAGCTAATGACCAAGCGAAAGCTAGCCTAGCAAGTATAACTGAGCTACCAAGCTACCTGTCATCTGTCTGTCTGCCCACCTGTATATGTAGATCCCATTTCACTCATTTCGTCCTGCTTCACTTGTGCGGTTTAGTTCTGCTTCAGTGGTGTTGCAGGTTGTGAATGTTGTACTGAAGGTTGCCAATCACAGGTGCTCATTGGCATATTAGGACCATGTCCAGAGAGTTCTAAATAACTAAAATAAACTAGATAAACAATTTGAGTTATATTTATAAATGTCTGTTGTTTTTAGTCCCTTTTTTGTATTTTTCACCATGTTGCCTGGGACTCTAGACAGAAATTGTGACCATCATGTCCATAATTTTCATTACTCGGTGTGTTTAGAGCTCTAATATTGTTAGTATGCGTGTGTAAGTGTGGCGTTCATGCTCATAATGTCCTCTGGTTGATTAGCTCTGTACTCCTCCAACCACCTGGCTCATCTGGATCTGTTCCTGTGCCTAAATATTACACAAACACAGTCTGATTCAGGGAATTGCATTTATAACACACATGTGGATGATCTATGTACAGTGACATTACGCGACCCACAAACACGTACTGCGTTGCCGACAACGTGTTTAGAGGATGTTGATCACACACTGTGTCCACAGTACAGCGTCTGTCTTGCATTGTCTGTGATAATTACCAGCACTTAGCGCTTTAAGCAGCAGCAGCGTCTGTGCCAAAGTCATACAACACACTCAGACACAGGCTCCATGATGTAAGACATCACCTCGTGTGGCCTTTTGTCCTGCGTTCCTGCTGCTTTCTCACACACACACAGACACACTTGTTGTTCAGGGCCCAAAGGACCATTACAGGCTGTCCTGTTGTAATGTGACATACAGACAGAGTGAATGTGACCGAGGAAGAGAATACATTAGAGTCTGAGAGTGAGACTGAGAGAGAAAGTGAATAAGATTGGTGTGCCGACAGAGGAAGAGGATGAACAGGGCTCAGATATACGGAACATCAGACGGCACATTTAAGAAAAGAGAAAACTAAACAGGTTGGAAGAGATGGAAAAAAGTGACTGGTCCACATGTCAGAGTAAAGCTGGACATGCACTACATCACACACTTAACATCAGTCTTTTATTCTTGTCTTTTTGTTGTGAGGGCACGCTAGGCAGTGAGACAACACGAAGACATCAGACACATAATGAACAAGCACTCAAAATGCCAGAATCCCTTCTTTATCACATGATACAAGCAAAGCTGTATTGGACCCGTTTGTACTTTTCTACACAAACAAGAAGCTCAGGAAAAACTGGAGATGAATACATAAGCAAAAAATGTGAAAACTGCACTGTACAACAAAACAATAAAAGCAGCAAGGGTGCCAGACAAAACCGTTAATTAACAGTAAATGTACGTTTTCTCAGTTATGGTAAAAATCTGTAAAATTACAGTCATTTATTTTCTTAGAAATGCTGCCTTCTAGTGTAATTCAACAGTTTCACCAGTGCTACTAATTGTTTTGACATGCTGTATTTTAATAATATTAATAATAATAATAATAACAGGAACAACCAGTAAAACAGATGTAAATGTCTGAAATAAAGGTGGCTTGAAATAGTAAAGATAGCGGCTTGACGTCTGCGTCCATACATTATAAACATTATAAAATTGGCTGTTACCCAAATCACTCGGTCCGTTACATCACTGACCATCTCACACTAAAGGACGAGTGAACATTGAGTAATAAAAATCAAATGTTTTGATAAATGATACAGTAAAGGGAGAGCAGCACAGTGGCCATTCATTGTAGAAGACCACTCTTTGCTGAGCGGACTGACCTGGACAGGACGGTGAATCAGCGTTTCTCAGTTCCATTTTTTGACACTTCACTGTAGACCTTTTAATCTTTTAACGTAGCAATGGCAAAATGCTGTGTGGCGCACAGAGGAACTGAACAGTGTGTCCCTCCCATGAAAGCCAAGGTTTAAAATGTGGCCTGTGCAGTGTGTGGTGGCCTGTAGTCAGACTAATATCCAGCCATTGATGTGCATATAAATGTAGTTACTGTGTTATTACAGGTGTGGAGGAGTTAGTGTTAAAGCTCGTTAGAGTATTGATCTGGAGTGTGAGTCATGTGGCAGTTACAATCAATCACACCTGTGTGTGTGTGTGTGTGTGTGTGTGTGTGTGTTGCCTTCTTCCTCAAATGAGCTTCCATAAATTTGGTTGTGCCCACGTTTCTGTGCATGTGTGTGTGCCATTGTGTGCACTTGACATGTCCTTGTCTGTATGTGTGTGGTTGTACGCTCTGTTCTCTGGTGAACTGCTTGTCCTTTCTCAGTCCTATGCTTTCCATTCTGAACTAAAACTGAACTGCTCTCAATGAGCTATTTCACGCTGCCCCAGCCACCCAGCCTTGTTCAGCAGGGTTCCTTGACCAGACACCACCTAATGCCTGACCCAACCTCAACACCCCAACTTTAATTAATTATTCAAAGCTGCTCTGAATGACTTAATTGATTTGAAATCGATATTTAATAACAACTGCAGTGAGGTTTTCTGACTGTAATGCCAAATTAGGGGCTGAGGAAAATATGCTTGTTGATGCCCAAGCAAAAATGACTTTAATAATAAGTATAAAAACATTTCTGAATAACACTTTTTAAATTATTTTCTAATTGTAATAACATTTTCTGATGTTCTGAATTATTTGTTCTGTTTACCGATGTAGATCAGATAAAATTTTAACTAATCATGTGTTACAATATGTGTTGTAAGGGTGTAAGCAGTGTTATATTTATGTTGTTACATTGTAATACAATGTAATATTTTATACATTTATAAAATATAAAATATACATATCATTAGAACCATTAGACAACCATTAGCCAACATTCAGAAAACTATTAGACAACCTTCAAAAAACCATTAGACAACCATTAGACAATCTTAAAAAACCACTAGACAACCATTAGAATACCTTCAGAAAACCATTAGACAACCATTAGGAAACCATGAGTCAACCTTAAAAAACACACTAGATAACCATTAGACAACCAATGGACATCCATTGGAGAACTTTCAGAAAACCATAAGAGAGTCTCCAGAAAAACCATTAAACCACATTAAGAAAACTATTAAAAACCTTTAGACATCCATTAGAAAACCATTATACAACCTTAAGAAAACCATTGAACACCACTGGAGGACCATTTGAAAACCATTATAAACCATTAGACAACTTTCAGAAAACCATTCAACAACCAATTTGATAACTATTACAAACCCATTAGAAAACCTTCTGAAAACCATTAGAGAGCCATTAGATAACCATTGCACAACCTTCAGAAAACCATTAGACAACAATTAGAAAACCTATTGAAAACCGTTAGAGAACCATTAGGCAACCATTAAACAACCTTAAAAAAACATTAGCAAAACATTTGACAACCACTGGAAAACCATTAGACAACCAATAGACAACCATTAGAAAACCATTTCAGAAAACCATTAGACAGTCTTCAGAAAAAACATTAAAAACTATTAAACTATAGAAACTATTAAACTAGAAAACTATTAAAAACCATTAGACTGCCATTAGACAACCATTAGACAACCATTTAACAACCTTCAGACAACCTTCAGAAAACAATTAGACAACCTATTGAAAACCATTAGAGAACCATTAGGCAACATTCAGAAAACGTTTAGACAACCATTTGAAAACCATTATACAACAATTAGAAAACCTTCAAAAAATAATACACTACCAATAGACGACCATTAGACAACCTTCAGAAAACCATTACAGTCTCCAGAAAAAACACTAAAAACCATTAAACAACGTTAAGAAAACCATTAAAAACCATTAGATAACCATTAGGAAACCATGAGACAACCTTCAAAAAAACCATTAGAGAACCATTAGAAAACCATTAGACAACGAATAGACAACGATTAGACAACGTTCAGAAAACCATTAGTCTCCTGAAAAACCATTAAGAACCATTAAACAACCTTAAGAAAACCATTAAAACCATTAGACAACCATTAAAAACCATTAGGAAATCTTAAAAAAAACCCACTAGACAACCATTAGAATTCTTTCAGAAAACCATTAGGAAACCATGAGACAACCTTCAATTAACCATTAGACAACCATTACAAAACCATTCGACAACCTTCAGAAAACCATTAGACAACCATTTGAAGACCTTCAAAAAACCATTACACAACCAATAGAAAACAATTAGAAAACCATTCGTAATCCATTAGACAACCTTCAGAAAACCATTAAAAACCATTAGACAACCATTAGAAAACCGTTAGAAAACTTTCAGAAAACCATTAGAGAACATCAGAACCATTCGACGACCATCAGAAAAACATTAGACAACCATTGGACAACTTTCAGAAAACCGTAAGACAACCATTAAAAAAACAATTAGATAATTCAAAAACCATTAGACAACCCTGAGAAAACCTTCAGGAAACCATTACACAACTTTCAGACAACCTTCAGAAAACCATTACACAACCATTAGACAGCCTTCAGATAACAAACATTAGACATCCTTCTTTGAGAAAACCATTAGCTAACAATTACAAAACCATTCAGAAAACCATTAGACACGCATTAGATAACTATTAGACAACCTTCAGAAAACCAATCGACAACCATTAGATAACTATTACAAAACCATTTAGACAACCATTAGAAAATCTTCTGAAAACCATTAGACAACCTTCAAAAATCCATTACACAACAAGCAGAAAACGATTAAATAACTATTTGAAAACCATTAGACAAGCATTAGACAACCTTCAGAAAACCATCAGACAGCCATTAGAAAACCATTAGACAACCATTTAACAAACTTCAGAAAACCATTAGACAACCTTTAAAAAGCCATTAAAAACCATTATAAAACCTTAAGGAATCCATTAAAATCCATTGGACAACAATTATAAAACCATTAAAAACCATTAGACAACCTACGGAAAACCATTAGACAACCTTCAAAAAACCATGAGACAACCATTTGGCAACCTTCAGAAAACCATTGGACAACCTTCAGAAAACCATCAGACAACCATTAGAAAACAATTTGACAACCATTTGACAACCTTCAGAAAACCATTAGACAACCATTAGACATCCTTTTAAAAACCATTAGACAACCATTACAAAACCTCTAGAAAAACGATAGACAATCTTAAGGAAACAACTAAAAACCATTAGACAACTATTAGATAATCTTCAGAAAACCCCTTCTACAAACATCAGACAACCTTTGGAAAACCTTAGAAAACCATTAGACAACCTTCAAAAAACCATGACAACCATTAGACAACGATTAGACAATTGGACAAGCATTAGAAAACCTTCAGAAAACTATTAGACAACCTTCAGAAAACCATCAGACAGCCATTAGAAAACCATTAGACAACCATCAGACATCCTTTAAAAAACCATTAGACAACCATTATGAAAACTTCAAAAAAACATTAGACAATCATCTGAAAACCATTACAAAACCTCTAGAAAACCATTAAGGAACATTCAGAAAACGATTAGACAACATTAGACAACCTTCAGAAAACCTTTAGACAACCATTAGACAACCATTTGACAACCTTCAGAAAACTATTAGACAACCATTAGACAACCTCAAAAAAAAACATTAGACAACCTTCATAAATCCCGTTCTACAAACATCAGACAACCTTTGGAAAACCATAGAAAACCATTAGACAACATTCAAAAAACCATTGCACAACTATTACAAACCCATTAGACAACCTTTAGAGACCATTCAACAACCGTTAGACAGCCATTAGGAAACGATTACCATTATCCAACCTTCACAGGACAAAATTAGAAAACCATTAGGGAACCATTACACGTTTTAGAAAACCATTAGATAACATTCAGAACGCAATTAAAAAACATTAAACAACTTTAAGAAAACGATTAGACAACCTTCAGAAAACCATTAGACAACCATTAGACAACCTCCAGAAAACCATTAAACCTTCTTTCAAGAACCTTTTCAATTGGCTGTCTGTAGCACAAAACAGGGCTCCATATTTTTACACACAATATAACCTATTTGTACTATATTCAGCTCTTTTTGCTAAGATTGTGCACTGTTATATGAGCTTGACAGAAAATATGATACTTTGAGTATAAAGGAATTATGGAATTAGGATAAAAGTGCCGAACTATGCAAAATACAGTCATTTTATAATGTGTACTCATGAATTAGTTTGAATACTGTGTAGGTATATTATTGTGATAAACCTACCTTCCACTGTAAAACCTGATGAGAGAGGTGGGTCGCAGGGTTTGGCCATATTGATTTTTCAAAATCGCTGATGAGTCTTTTTTAAATATACAGTGGACAATATTATTGTTCATATTGCAAAAAAAGGAAAATATAAAATATTGTGGTCTGCAGGCCTAATTTGGCTCCCTTAGAAATCTGAATTTTATAATTTGGCCACAACGGAGTGTTAAACAGTTTTGATCAAATGTGTTGAGCTTAAATATTTCTGTCTTCATTATGTGAATACAAACCACTTCTATGGTTATGAATCTCATGAATATGTTCATATGTTCCTTCAGTAGAAAACTCTGTTCATTCTTGGTGCAGAAATAGGGGTCAGCAACCCAAGTGTTAAAGAGCCATTTGGTCTTCTCAACAAAAATCAAACCACCTTGGGAGCCACAACGTTTTATGTCCATTTAATTGAAGTAACGTTTTACCATCTTGGCTATAAATATGTATCAGAATGTGCTAGTATAGGCTAAAAATAAAATAAATAAATAAATAAATGAAAACAGACTTACTTTGCTCTGCTGAAGTTTTAGCTCAGTTATAGCTGCGTTCTCACATCTCCAGCAGGAAACTTTTCTGCAAAAGTTGAATAGTTTCTTGTAAAATGCCTCTCAATGTTCAACTTTTTATGATGCTTCTTCTCACTTTCCTGTTCCACCTTAAATGGTGCCTGAGGCACCAGAATGTACCTGTTGTGTGATTTAAGGTGTAACAGGAAAATATAAAACAAATGGCACATGGACTTCAGCTTCTCGACTTTTTAGGGTTTGACAGTCCATTCATCTCCAAATTATTGATGTTCGTCTTAAATCTTTCTCTTTGCCTTTTCAGCAGCTACTAGCAAGGCGAGATTGTAGTCTGCATTGCTATTGTGACCAGCAGTCTGCATTGTTATGGTGACCAGCAGTCTGCACACCAATCCTCAGGGTTAAAGGGCGAATTAGCAGTTTTACATTAACTCCAGTGTTTAAGACCATTTATTTTTAAAACGATCAGCAGCTTTATTTTACTGCAAAGCATGATTTTTTTCTTTTTACCTAAAAATCTGCTGTGGAGCTGCAACAGTGTAGTAAAAGAGCCGCTTGTGGCTCTGGAGCTGCATATCGCTGACCCCTGTGCTAGAGTAACAGCTGGTTGAATCCAAGTCCAACTTATGGAGGCTTTCTTTCACACTGTTAAACACAATTAAGCTGCACCATCTCAGTGTAAAACAGTTTTGTTGGTCAGGACTGTTGACACTGCAAGGCTGACATTGTCAATAGACCTGTCAGAATTATTATATAATCGTGATTTTTTTTAGATGATCGTAATCATTTCAATTAATTACAATCCTCTAAGATGATCAGTGTTTTTAAGAGGATGGCAGTTTTTAGGACTATTTTAATTTTCCACAGTCATTACATTTCTGCCACAAGCAGAATGTGAATTGGGTGTGTTGGGTTGAGGCAAGTAAATCTAAATAAAAGAAAGCAGTAAATGCGTTTATTATAACATTATGGGGCTCATGAAAACAAAGGTTATAGCTTCTCCAACTTTCAGAGGGCACTACTAAGTAATGTTGGTGTATTTGTTAGCTATGTAGCTAATTCTAATATTTTTATGTATAATTCAAACATTTAACATTTTTATTTTGATGTGTGCCGGCAGATTTATTTTTTATTATGTTTTATTATTTTCACTCTTGTAGCTTTTCTTGGCGTTACACATGATTCTGTAGACATTTGTGACAGTATTTTGAAGTGGACATAACATTGTAGTGTGTCATTTCGAAAGTACGACCGATATTAGCTACTAATCAAACGTGGTGAGGAAGCAAGATGGCTAATCAGCCCATTTGGCCACTTTAGACTAGTACTTTAATAGCTGCATCACACAGTTGCTTATAAGACAATTAATCATCAGCTAAAATTGTGTCAAATTGTCTACTAGTCTATTGCCATCATGATGAATGTCTTCCTTTTCTCTCTCAGGTCATGGACGCTTTAGAGGTTGTAGGCTCCAATCAGCCTTTTACTTCTCTAACAGTGGAGTGCTCTCCTCTGTTGGAGGAAGAAGAGCAGGAGGAAGAGGATGAAAGGATGGAGGGAGAGCACAAAGAGAATGAGTAGGTTTCATATTTATTCCTATATTCTTTGTTTACTATTGTAGCTCTCCCTCTAGGGAATCCTAGCATCTTGGCTATTTTTTGCATAAAGAGCCCAAAATGCTAGATCTTTTAATTTGACATTAATGAATGTGTCTTTAAGGGACCCCCTGGCATTTTATGATGATGTCATGCTGGATGTGGAGCTGGTTCCTGCTTTGAGGTTTTGTGGTGAACTAGCACGCTGGACTGGCAGTGCCATCTCTCACCAGGTACTGTGTCAGTAGGTAATGCCAGGTTTAATAACTCCCTAAGCCAATCATAATGTCTAGTCTAAATCCCACCAAATAGCCCACCTTGCAAAGCCCTTAATTGACTGAATGATTGAATGGGGAACATCTTGAACAAGGAACAAATTGCTGCCTCTCCAGAGACAAATTGATTTTTGTCTGAAAAAGTTCTTGCCACTGTTTCCTGCGGCTTGCTTATTAGGTTCTAGGCTCAATCTCTGCTTTTCACCCTTTGTGGCAGGTACTATTGTGACCTTTATTGACCAAAGATGTTATACAAGCCCACTTCCCAAAAAGTTGGGACAGTATATAAAAGACTAATAGGAACAGAAAGCAGTGATTTAGAAAATTGTTTTACCTGTTTTAAGATTAAAAAAAAACAGTACACAAACACAATATTTTGTTTGAGCTTATGAACATAGTTCATTATGAATATATTCATTCTAAATTGTATGTCTGCAACATCAAAAAAAAGTTGGGAGAGGATCATGTTTATCACTGTGTTACATCACCTTTTAACAACATTGTCTGAGGACTGAAGAGACCAATGTATCCAGTTTTGAAAGCATTTTTTCATTCATATGTTATGCAAGTCTTCAGCTGTGCAAACATACTGGACCTTTTCTGTCATATTTTGAGCTTATTAAGACATTAATTAAGTCATTTTGAATGGGAGACAGTTCTAGGCTGCAGACAGGCCAGTCTTGCACCCACACTCTCTGATTACACAGCCATGCTATTGTAGCACATGCAGAATTTTTCTTTGTTCATGTTGAAATAAGCATGGATTTCACAGAAAATGATGACATCTAAAAAGGCAAAAGTGTGTTCAGCATTAATGGTGCCTTCACAGGTGTGCAAGTTTCCCACTAATACCCCATAACATAGCAGACCCTGACTTTTGAACTTTATACTGGTAACAATCTGGACAGTTCTTTTCTTCTTTAGCCTGGAGGTAAGGTAAGAAAGAACCCATCAATTTGCTAGCATTTGCTCATTCAGTGCTAATGTTGCAAATGAGACGATTGTAGCTGCTCTGGAGAATGGATCATAACATGGTTTGAAGAAATGGAATTCTGAGATTTCAAGCCTTCTAACAGCCCATTGCATTACTGTATTGCGGGACGATTTGATGCATAAAAATGACGTTTAAAAAAAAAAAAAACTGAAGTGAATGCTTTGGCAGAAATGTGCCGGTACCGGTACAGTGATCTACAAAAGGTTAAGATCTTAAATTGCCTCTATCACAACTTTTTTGGAACATGTTGCAGGCAGTGATTTCAGAATGAGTGTATAATTACCAAAAAACAGAGACGTTGGTAAGATAAACATTAAGTATCTTGCCTTTGTACTGTTTTCACTCAAATACAGGTGAAAGTAGATTTATAAGTCACAGCTTTCTGTTTTAATTATATTACCTTGTGTTCTAATTTTTTAGAATTGGTTTTGTGTTTTAAGGCCAGGACGCACTAATCCAAACAGTTTAAAGGGACCGAAGCGTATGAATGGGGAAGAACATTCTGGAATAGTGTGAATGAGAGGAGTCTTTCTTGGGGCAGTGTGATCAGATGGAGAACATTCTGCAATAGTTTGAATGGGGGAAATAATAATAAGACAGTGTTGCAGGGGGATAATCAGTAGGAGGACATTCGTGAACAGGGTGAATGGGGCAGAACATATCTAGAACAGTGTGAATGGGGGAAAACATTCCATGTCAGTATGACCGGAGGGGGCACATTCTAGAACAGTGTGAATGAGGGAGTACTCTAGAACATGAACAGGGGTATTGTAGAGAAGTAGAACAGTGTGACTATGGGACCCCAATCTAGAACAGTGTGAATGGGACAAAACATTCTAGAGCAATGTGGTCGGAGGAGAAGATTCTAGAACAGCATGAATGAGAGAACATTCTAGAGCTTCCCAAGAATTGCAGACAGGTACGGCTCACCAACCAAACATTTGGGTTTATCTGTGTTTGTTGGGTCTGTCACTCTGACTTTGGTCCAATAGAACACTGAAGGTAATGTGTTATGGTGATTTGGTCACAGTAGATCCTCACAGCCATGAGTTTATGATGTAAACAATAAACAAATGAACATTGTTGTTAATAAGCAACTTTTGGTCATATGGGTATGTGAAGAAACATTTTGTAATTTGATATAACAACTCAGATAGAATTTATCAGTTATTTAGGCACAGCTGTTGTATGAAAATAAAATGAATTTGAATTGAATTACTGCTTTGGGTGTTTTCACAGGGAGAGGTGGGTGTGTCTGCGCGATTGACGTTCGAGACTGTGGTTGGGGAGAGAACATGTTCTCACCTAGAACTGAGGAACGAGGGCAGCACAGCCATTTATTACAGCTGGCACAGACTGGCACGGCCACACAGCTTCACTGAGGCGAGATCACAGAGATATACTCAACACTTCTACTTCAACACAGCTACAGGTACACGCAACATTTCTAGTTAAACACTGCAACAGGTACACGCAACACTTCTACTTCAACACTGCAACTGGTACACGCAACACTTCTACTTCAACACAGCTACAGGTACACGCAACATTTCTAGTTAAACACTGCAACAGGTACACGCAACACTTCTACTTCAACACTGCAACAGGTACACGCAACACTTCTACTTCAACACTGCAACAGGTACACGCAACACTTCTACTTCAACACTGCAACTGGTACACGCAACACTTCTACTTCAACACTGCAACAGGTACATGCAACACTTCTACTTCAACACAGCTTCAGGCACACGCAACATTTCTACTTCAACACTGCAACAGGTACACGCAACACTTCTACTTCAACACTGCAACAGGTACACGCAACACTTCTACTTCAACACAGCTTCAGGCACACACAACATTTCTAGTTAAACACTGCAAAAGGCACACGCAACACTTCTACTTCAACACTGCAACTGGTACACGCAACACTTCTACTTCAACACAGCTTGAGGTACACGCAACATTTCTAGTTAAACACTGCAACAGGTACACGCAACATTTCTACTTCAACACAGCTTCAGGCACACGCAACATTTCCAGTTAAACACTGCAACAGGTACATGCAACACTTCTACTTCAACACTGCAACAGGTACACGCAACACTTCTACTTCGACACAGCTACAGGTACATGCAACACTTCTACTTCGACACTGGAACAGGTACACGCAACACTTCTACTTCGACACTGGAACAGGTACACGCAACACTTCTACTTCAACACAGCTACAGGTACACGCAACACTTCTACTTCGACACTGGAACAGGTACACGCAACACTTCTACTTTGACACAGCTACAGGTACACGCAACACTTCTACCTCGACACAGCTACACGTACACACATTTCTACTTAAACACAGCTACAGGTACACGTAACACCTCAACACTGCCACAGGTACACGTAACACCTCAACACTGCCACAGGTACACACAACACTTCAACACAGCTACAGGTACACACAACACTTCAACACAGCTACAGGTACATGCAACACTTCAATGCCACTACAGGTATACACAACACTTCTACTTCAACACAGGCACTTGCTTCTATTCACAACATTGGTTATTTTCATAATAAAAGTATAACTTGGTGAGAATCACATTTTGCTGAACCTGTTATTCTGACTGTTACACACACACTTATGACACCCCTTATTGGTAACTCTAACTGATATTTCATAATACCCATAATCTCTCGGTCTCATTTTCACTTTCTCACTCACTCTATCTCTCTAAGCGGTGATACTGCCAGGCGATACAGAGCGCATCCTGTTCACCTTCAAGAGTGTGTGTCCTGGGATCATGAGTGAAGTTTGGCAGCTTCATACACACCCTGTGCTACTGGGTGGAGCCTCACTGCAGGTCACACTGAGGGGTGTGGCTCTGTACCAGGACAAAACTGCTGATCAGAGAGCAGCCTTGGAGGTGGGTGTGTGTGTGTGCGCGAGTCCGAAAGAAAGTATGTGAGTGTGTGCAGATATGTTTTTGTTGTCTTGTTATCCTGTTTTTCCCACTGTTTGGGCAGTTTGGTATTACTTGTAGCAACATAATTTCCCAAACCAAAACCTGGTATGGTTAATCAATGCTTAGTTAAATAAAATCAGATGTGCTGGTGATGGAATGAAACAAGCCTGTGCAATGACTGGGGGTGTCAAGGAAAGATCTTGAACCAAACCAGTGTTCTTTTTAAGTATCCCAAAAGACATCAACTACTTTTTGGAAAAAAAAGACATTAATGCCACTTTTTACTGTGTTTGTATTTATTTGAATTTATTCAAATGGTATATGGTGATTTTACAAGCAAAAACACATTTATTCATTTATTGTTCTGATAAATGGTTTTAAAATGGTTATTTGCTAAAGTGCTAAGACGTTTGCATGGTACTGTAAGTATATGTTTATGTACGTGTATTACAGCTGGAACTGGAGCAGCGAAAGACAATATCAGTGTGCAGGTCTATGGTGTATGAGTTACTGCGTAATGTTCACACTCCAGAGAGGCCCAGCTCTCCAGCTCAATTCTACACCACTGAGGAGGAGCACTTCCACGCCAGCAACCCCAACGTAGGTCCCCAGCTTGTGGCCCAGACAGCCAACCTCACAAATTTACGCAGGCCACAAGAGGATGTAATGGAACCAATTGTTAAAACTGTTAGAAATAAAACACAATGAAAAGTGGTAAAAAATAAAACAGTTATGTTTGTGCCTAAACCTGAAATATATAAAATAAAAAACATAACATTCTAATTCAGATGACTATAAAGCACATTACATCCTAATGTAGGTCCCCATAAAGTGCATAACATCCTAATGCAGATCCCCATTAAGCACATTACATCCTAATGTAGGTCCCCATAAAGAGCATAACACCCTAATGCAGATCCCCATTAGGCACATCACATCCTAATGTAGGTCCCCATAAAGAGCATAACACCCTAATGCAGATCCCCATTAAGCACATTACATCCTAATGTAGGTCCCCATAAAGAGCATAACACCCTAATGCAGATCCCCATTAGGCACATTACATCCTAATGTAGGTCCCCATAAAGAGCATAACACCCTAATGCAGATCCCCATTAAGCACATTACATCCTACTGTAAGTCCTCATAAAGAGCATAACATCCTAATGCAGATCCCCATTAGGCACATTACATCCTAATGTAGGTCCCCATAAAGAGCATACCACCCTAATGCAGATCCCCATTAGGCACATCACATCCTAATGTAAGTCCTCATAAAGAGCATAACATCCCAATGCAGATCCCCATTAGGCACATTACATTGTGATGTAGGTCCCTGTAAAGAGCATAGCATCCTAATGTATGTTTCCATTAATAAAATTACATCCTAATGTAGGTCCCCAGCTTGTGGCTCAGACCGCGAACCTCACAAATTTACGCAGGCCACAAGAGGATGTAATGGAACCAATTGTTAAAACTGTTAGAAATAAAACACAATAAAAAGTGGTAAAAATTACAACACAGTTGTGTTTGTGCCTAAACCTGAAATATATAAAATAAAAAACATAACATTCTAATTCAGATGACCATAAAGCACATTACATCCTAATGTAGGTCCCCATAAAGTGCATAACATCCTAATGCAGATCCCCATTAAGCACATTACATCCTAATGTAGGTCCCCATAAAGAGCATAACACCCTAATGCAGATCCCCATTAGGCACATCACATCCTAATGTAGGTCCCCATAAAGAGCATAACACCCTAATGCAGATCCCCATTAGGCACATTACATCCTAATGTAGGTCCCCATAAAGAGCATAACACCCTAATGCAGATCCCCATTAAGCACATTACATCCTACTGTAAGTCCTCATAAAGAGCATAACATCCTAATGCAGATCCCCATTAGGCACATTACATCCTAATGTAGGTCCCCATAAAGAGCATAGCACCCTAATGCAGATCCCCATTAAGCACATTACATCCTAATGTAAGTCCTCATAAAAAGCATAACATCCTAATGCAGATCCCCATTAGGCACATTACATCCTGATGTAGGTCCCCATAAAGAGCATAGCATCCTAATGTATGTTTCCATTAATAAAATTACATCCTAATGTAGGTCCCCATAAAGCATATCACACCCTAATATAGATCCCTAAAAATCAGCATGTTAAAAGTCTACTGTGGCTCATTACAAAACTAACAAAATATTTCCTAACAGTCAAATATTGAGGCCCTAACAGACGTCCCCACAAACCACATTACAATTCTAAAATAGGCCCCCACACCGCACATTGCAATACTAGTGGTTTCTATAGATCAGCATATTAACACCCTAACACTCTCATGCTGTGAGAAGCTACCTTTTTCTTTCTCTTTTACACACACACACACACACACACACACACACACACACACACACACACACTGTTGCAGTGTTGCCTAAAGGATATGCTCTGTGTGTTCCATTAGCAAACTAATTGGATCGAGAATGTAATTTAGGCCAGAACATTTCAGAAGTCCTTTGGGAAGCTCCTCCACCTTGCATTCACAAAAGAACACATTTCTGTTCAGTCTGTACTCTAATCAGATGTCCGCCCACATGCATAATGCACACAGATGAAACACACACACACACACACACACACACTCAACCTGCTTTGTGAAAATAAAAATAAGCTAACCTTGTCTTTTTCATGTTCTGAAAAGGATGTACTCCTGAATTATCTGTGTATATGTATGCGTGTGTACTCTGCTCCAGTTGCACTACCACCATGAACCATTGGAGGCTCTGAAGAGGCTATGGGAGCAGGCCCATAGGTCAACAGTCATAGGGTCTGGAGAGGCGGAGGATGAACACACACCTGTAGAAATTCCAGTCTGGGATCTGTCTGTGAACCATCTCCGACAGGTATCACACTCTCCTACACTCACACTGCTGCTGCATGAGCTAGTTCTAGATCAGTCATTTGCATGAGGACTCAGTGTTCTGTACGTTTTGCACTAACCCACTGTTTTCCATCTAGTCCTTCCTGCTTTAACACAATAAATTCAGATCTTAATGTTGCATTTCACACTTGAGTTGCATATTTAATTAAGCTTCAATCCCTTCATTACCTTAATCAGGTGTATTCGTGCAGGGATGACATCATTGAAATCAAATCAAATTAAATGTCATTTCATATTAAATTAAATGACAGTACAAGGATAGAAATACAACTATATAAACATTTGTAATTTGTAGTTCTACAGTTACAGACTGTAATGTTTCTCTGTTTCTCTGCATACTTTGTTACCCTTTTACCCTGTTCTTCAGTGGTCAGGACCCCCACAGGACCACCACAGAGCAGGTATTATTGGGTGCTGGATCATTTTCAGCACTGCAGCGAAAATGACGTGGTGGTGGCATATTAGTGTGTGTTGTGCTGGTGAGAGTGGATCAGACACAGCAGTGCTGCTGAAGGTTTTAAATACCTCAGTGTCGCAGCGTCCTGTGGGCAGCATCCTGTGACCACTGATGAAGGACTAGAGGATGACCAACAAACTGTGCAGCAGCAGGAGTAGGAGTGTCTAATAGAGTGGACAGTGAGTGGACACAGTGTTTATAAACTCCAGCAGCACTGCTGTGTCTGATCCACTCAGACAAGCACAACACACACTAACACACACCCACCATGTCAGTGTTACTGCAGTGCTGAGAATGATCCATCACCCAAATAATACCTGCTCTGTGAACCTGATCGTAAACTGATCAGATTGAATCATTGAAACTATATCCTAACTGTATGATAACACTTTATTTTGAGTGGTGCTTTGTAGATGATTAATAAACTCTTAACAGAGTATCGGTAACACATCAACAACATATCAGTGAAGTAGCAGTAGTGAAGTATCTGAATACACTGAAGTAAATATCTTGTAGATGTTCTGTTGATACATTACTTATTTAGATGTATTGTTAATGTTACTTCCATTACACACAACCTAACCTTATCAACCTTACCCAAAACCTATCCTTATCAACTTTACCCAAAACTTAACCTTATCAACCTTACCCAAAACCTAACCCTCACCCTGGCCCTAATCCTAACCCTAACCTTAATCTCAACCCAAAACTAATCCTAACCCTCACTCTGGCCCTAATCCAAACCATAACCTTAACCTCAACACAAAACCTAATCCTAACCCTCATATCGTTGTCGGAAGAAAACCTTGTATCTTCATTTTTGACATTTTTCAGTTTTTGACATAATTTGAAAATACCTGTTTCTCTTTACACTTGTGTGTAAATTTCACGATGAAACGACTAAAAGAAATTACCTAAAATGACTTGGAGAAAATTCTGGTTCCATTGACTTACATTAAAAGTATATGTTTTTTCCTTCTCCTGTAAAGTCACCATTTTGGAGATGCAGGGTTTTCTCTTGACAACAGTGATATGTTTTCACATGTTACTGAGAGTCTGAGAGTTTCATCTGAAAAGTAAATAAAGTGTCACCAACTGTATATGTACTTGCATGCATTCACATTCACATATGTTTAAAGTCATAAGAAATAGTTTGCTACTTGTAAGCAACACTGACATATCATTGAAAAACACTGAGCAGTAACTCAGAACCTAAAAGTAACACATTGTCACTGTCATGTAAAAAACCTTGTAACTCAATATTCTATTTTTTTTTATTTTACTCTATTTGAAAAAAACAAACTGTCTTATATATTGTGTGAACATTTCATAAAAATGGACCAATAAATAGTCCATAGTCCAATTACAATAAATTGTAATTAAAACTTACTTAACTTACTTAACTTACATTAAAGTTGACAACATTTATTTTCTTCATCATTTTGAAGATACAAGATTTGTGTTATGACAGCAACAATATGTGTGATTAAGTCCTCAGGTGGTTGTTGTGCAAAAAAAAATGAAGTCATTCTGAAAGAGGGTGCTGATACATCCAGGCTGTATGTGTGTGCTGCTTCCTTCCACTAGGTGGTGCTTGGCTTGCCACAAGAAGATACAGACTCAGAGGGGGTACTGTTTAGGGAAGAGGCTCTGAGGCAATACAACTCACTGATCCTGCAGCTTCACCAACCACAGCCCCCAACCAAGCCTCTCACACTGCACTGCATTGGGTCAGTCTATAACACAGCACCACACTGTCTGGGGAGAGCGGGGCACAATCTAACACAGATTAATTTGTGTAATTAAGCAGGTTTAAATTGAAACATTCTTTTGGTCATCTTTTATTCCCATGGTATAGATTTGCACCACACCATGAATGTAGCTCTTCATCAGAATTGTTTTAGATCACTGAGTTCTGTGTTTGTACAAGTTCGTGTAATATTCACTCCTATATTATTTCAAAATCTCTCTTAGTAACTGTAATATAGCCATATTTTGAAGTCTGTAGACAACTCAGTGAGAGCTAGCCAGGCTAAAGTATAGCCTCCACATGGTGGGGATAGTTTAACAGTCACTACTGAGCCACTCAAAGTAAACAATAAGAGCAATCTATATATCTGACTGTGAATATTTGAAAGAAACTGTTTCCTTAATCCTTCAGCTCTAATGTTGATAATGAACTTAAGATGTATGGCATGCTGAACATATTCAGAAAATGTGTTTCTTGCTCATTGTTCTTGTGTATATGAAAGCACAAAGTATCTTATTGTGCAAAAGTCTAGTGTAAGTACAATTAAGTACAAGTTATTTGTTTTTCAGAAGATATATCTAAAGAGATTAGATTTCAGACAGTCTGCTTGTAAAAGGAAGGTGGAAGTCAAATGAAAATAAGTGACACAGAAGTTTATAAGAGAAATAGAAAATAGACAAATAGGTGACCCAGAAAACAGGAGTTTACAAATCCAGAGTAAAAAAAAACTGAAAGATACAGTTAAAATAGGATTCCTAACAACCACCAGCAAGATCTGGTAGCCCACCAAACTTGCCTCTATCAGATAAACAGCATTTAAGCTTTAATCTTTGAGAGAGAGGAGAAAATCAAGCTGCTTCAGATCTGAAAACATCCACAGGTGTTTCTGTCCATCCTTCCACTGTGAGAAGATGACTCAGCGCTGTGGGTCCGAAAGAATGTGTAGCTGTCAAGAAGAACCTCACTGAGAAAAGGAGACACATCAAACAAAGAAGCTGAACAATGGACTGACCACCCCAGAGTCCAGACCTCAACATCACTGAATGGGTTTGGAATTACTTAGATCGTGAGAAGCAGAAAATGCTAAACCAGCTTCTAAGACTGAACTCTAAAAATGTGCAAAAATATCCATATCTTTAAAAAACCTAAAAGTCAGTCTCCTGAAAAGAAGCTGTAATAAATGAAAAGAGTGGGCACATTAAATAATGTGATAAATGTGATACATTTGCATCTGTGAGAAGAAGATGTGGGAAACATTGCGCTTTAAAGGTGAATACTCTTTTATTGAACATGTAGCAAAGGATAACTGCCTCTCAGAAGGCTGAGACAGCAGGCAGGTCTCTGATTTTTGTACAGTGCTGTATATAAATGACTGTGTATTTTTGTGTGTATGTAGGCTGCAGTTGTGGAGGGAGCTGTGTGATGGGTTAGTCAGTGAGGCTCTGTGGATCAGACATATGCTGGGATTGCCTGAGAACAATAACTGGGGAGACACACAGCATGACCAGGACAGCTGTGAGTACAAACACACACACACATTACAACACGCTCTCCCTCACACCATAACTCCTGTGTGTAATCCATCTGTAAGGTAATTTTCATTCAAATAAAACCCAGCTGTAAACTAAAGTTTGAAATATTTGACCGACCCAATGGGGCTCAATCGCTCACGGTCAGGGAACCCAGTCAAATTAATTGTTGATTTCAAAATAAGTTAGCACATCCTCAACACATTTCCCTTCGTCTGTCCCTGCAGGCATTCCCACACAAACCAGTACACACATTACAGAAATTACAGAAGAATAAATAAATAGTAAGCCTAACTTTAATGGGGTGACTGGGCCTACAATCTGTGGTAATAAACCATATACTATGGTGGGCCGGCAACACAATGGTGGGCTTGTTTCATTATAGAGGGCCTGCAACACTATATTGGGCTGGCAGCACTAAGGTAGGCCTCCAGCACTATGGTGGGCATCCAGCATTATACTGGGCTGGCAACTCAAGGGTGGGCCTTGAACACTATGGTGGGCCTGCAACATAATAGTGGCTCTGCAACACTATGGTTGGTTTGTAACACTTTGGCTGGCCTGCAATACTTTGATGGGCCTGAAACATTCAGATGGGGCAACAGCACTCTGGTGGGCCTGCAACACTGTAGTGGACTGGCTTCCATCATTATTGCGTGCCTCCAGCAATATGGTAGGCCTGGAACACTGTGCCTTATGGCCTACAGCAATATAGTGGGCTGGGAACACTAGGGTGGAATAATGTAGTGGACCTTCAACACTATAGTCAACCTGCAACACAATGGTTGGTCTGCAGCAATATGTTTTGCCTGCAGTACTTTAGTGGAGCAGGAACAACATTCTGGTTGGCTCGCAACACTATGGTTGGCTCGCAACACTATGGTTGGTCAACACTATGGTGAACTTGTAAAACTGTAGTTGGCCTGCAACACTTTAGTGGACTAGGAACAACAATCTGATGTGCCTGTAATACCATCATGGGGCTATAGCACTATGGTGTGTCTGAAACATGGTGTGCTTCCAGCATTATAGGTGGGTAAAGGGCCTCAATAGTATGGTGGGTCTGCAATTCTATGGTTGGCCAGTAACCCTGTGGTTGACCTGCAACACTATGGTTGACCTGCAACACTATGGTTGGCCTTCAACACTATGGTGGACCTGTAACACTGTGGTTGGCTTGCAACACTATGGTTGGCCTTGCAACACTATGGTTGGCTCGCAACACTATGGTGGACTTGTAAAACTGTGGTTGGCCTGCAACACTTTAGTGGACTAGGAACAACAATCTGATGTGCCTGTAATACTATCATGGGGCTATAGCACTATGGTGTGTCTGAAACATGGTGTGCTTCCAGCATTATAGGTGGGTAAAGGGCCTCAATAGTATGGTGGGTCTGCAATTCTATGGTTGGCCAGTAACCCTGTGGTTGGCCTGCAACACTATGGTTGACCTGCAACACTATGGTTGGCCTGCAACACTATGGTTGGCCTTCAACACTTTGGTGGACCTGTAACACTATGGTTGGCCTTGCAACACTATGGTTGGCCTTGCAACACTATGGTTGGCTCGCAACACTATGGTGGACTTGTAAAACTGTGGTTGGCCTGCAACACTTTAGTGGACTAGGAACAACAATCTGATGTGCCTGTAATACTATCATGGGGCTATAGCACTATGGTGTGTCTGAAACATGGTGTGCTTCCAGCATTATAGTGAACCTGCAACACTGTAGTTGGTTAGCAGCTATTTGATGATTTTCTAGCACTTTAGTAGGTCTGAAACATTTTGGTTGGGACTGTAACACTCTGGTTGGTAGAGGGCCTCAACAGTATGGTGGGTCTGCAACACTATGGCAAACCTGCAACACTATGGTTGGCCTTCAACACTATGGTTGGCCTTCAACACTATGGTTAGTATGCAACACTCTGGTTGGCTTGCAATACTATGGTTGGCCTTCAACACTATGGTGGACCTGCAACACTATGGTTGGCTTGCAACACTATGGTTGGCCTTCAACACTATGGTTGGCTTGCAATACTATGGTTGGCTTGCAATACTATGGTTGGCCTTCAACACTATGGTGGACCTGCAACACTATGGTTGGCTTGCAATACTATGGTTGGCCTTCAACACTATGGTGGACCTGCAACACTATGGTTGGCTTGCAACACTATGGTTGGCCTCCAACACTATGGTGGACTTGCAACACTATGTAGTGGGCCTGCAACAGTTTAGTGGACCAGAAACAACATTCTGATGTGCCTGTAATACTACCATGGGGCTATAGCACTATGGTGTGTCTGAAACATGGTGAGTCTCCAGCACTATAGTGAACCTGCAACACTGTAGTTGGTTAGCAGCTCTTTGATGATTCTCCTGCACTATGGTGGGCCTACAGCACTGTGGTGGGTCTGAAACATTTTGGCGAGTCTGTGCCACTCTGGTGGGTCTGAAAAACAGTAGGGGGCCTCAACAGTATGGTGGGTCTTCAATTCTGTGGTTGGTTTGCAACACTATGGTGAATCTGAAACACTATGGTGAATCTGAAACACGATGGTGGGCCTTGCAACACTATGGTTGGCCTTCAACACTATGGTGGACTTGTAAAACTGTGGTGTGCCTGCAACACTTTAGTGGACCAGGAACAACATTCTGACGTACTTGTAATACCGCTGTGGGGCTATAACACTATGGCGTGTCTGAAACATGGTGTGCTTCCAGCATGATTGTGAACCTGCAACACTGTAGTTGGTTAGCAGCTCTTTGATGATTCTCCTCCACTATGGTGGGCCTACAGCACTGTGGTGGGTCTGAAACATTTTGGCGAGTCTGTGCCACTCTGGTGGGTCTGAAAAACAGTAGGGGGCCTCAACAGTATGGTGGGTCTTCAATTCTGTAGTTGGTTTGCAACACTATGGTGAATCTGAAACACTATGGTGAATCTGAAACACTATGGTGAATCTGAAACACGATGGTTGGCCTTGCAACACTATGGTTGGCCTTGCAACACTATGGTTGGCCTTGCAACACTATGGTGGACTTGTAAAACTGTGGTGTGCCTGCAACATTTTAGTGGACCAGAAACAACAATCTGATGTGCCTGTAATACTACCATGGGGCTATAGCACTATGGTGTGTCTGAAACATGGTGTGCTTCCAGCATTATAGTGAACCTGCAACACTGTAGTTGGTTAGCAGCTATTTGATGATTTTCTAGCACTTTAGTAGGTCTGAAACATTTTGGTGGGACTGTAACACTCTGGTTGGTAGAGGGCCTCAACAGTATGGTGGTTCTGCAATTCTGTGGTTGGTCTGCAACACTATGGCAAACCTGCAACACTATGGTTGGCTTGCAACACTATTGTTGGCCTTCAACACTATGGTGGACCTGTAACACTGTGGTTGGCCTGAAATACTTTAGTGGACCAGGAACAACATTTTGACGTACTTGTAATACCACTGTGGGGCTATAGCACTATGGCGTGTCTGAAACATGGTGTGCTTCCAGCATGATGGTGAACCTGCAACACTGTAGTTGGTTAGCAGCTCTTTGATGATTCTCCTCCACTATGGTGGGCCTACAGCACTGTGGTGGGTCTGAAACATTTTGGCGAGTCTGTGCCACTCTGCTGGGTCTGAAAAACAGTAGGGGGCCTCAACAGTATGGTGGGTCTTCAATTCTGTAGTTGGTTTGCAACACTATGGTGAATCTGAAACACTATGATGAATCTGAAACACGATGGTTGGCCTTGCAACACGATGATTGGCCTTGCAACACTATGGTTGGTCTTCAACACTATGGTGGACTTGTAAAACTGTGGTGTGCCTGCAACATTTTAGTGGACCAGGAACAACAATCTGATGTGCCTGTAATACTACCATGGGGCTATAGCACTATGGTGTGTCTGAAACATGGTGTGCTTCCAGCATTATAGTGAACCTGCAACACTGTAGTTGGTTAGCAGCTATTTGATGATTTTCTAGCACTTTAGTAGGTCTGAAACATTTTGGTGGGACTGTAACACTGCAATTCTGTGGTTGGTCTGCAACACTATGGCAAACCTGCAACACTATGGTTGGCCTGTAACCCTGTGGTTGGCCTGCAACTCTATGGTGGCCTTGCAACACTGTGGTTGGCCTTGCAACACTATGGTTGGTCTTGCAACACTATGGTTGGCTCGCAACACTATGGTGGACTTGTAAAACTGTGGTTGGCCTGCAACACTTTAGTGGACCAGGAACAACATTCTGACGTACCTGTAATACCCCTGTGGGGCTATAGCACTATGGCGTGTCAAACATGTTGTATAGTGGGTCTGCAATTCTGTGGTTGGGCTGCAACACCATGGTGAACCTGCAACACCATGGTGAACCTGTCAACACTGTGGTTGGCTTGCAACACTATGGTGGACTTGCAACACTATGTAGTGGGCCTGCAACAGTTTAGTGGACCAGAAACAACATTCTGATGTGCCTGTAATACTACTATGGTGTGTCTGAAACATGGTGAGTCTCCAGCACTATAGTGAACCTGCAACACTGTAGTTTGGTTAGCAGCTCTTTGATGATTCTCCTGCACTATGGTGGGCCTACAGCACTGTGGTGGGTCTGAAACATTTTGGCGAGCCTGTGCCACTCTGGTGGGTCTGAAAAACAGTAGGGGGCCTCAACAGTATGGTGGGTCTTCAATTCTGTGGTTGGTTTGCAACACTATGGTGAATCTGAAACACTATGATGAATCTGAAACACGATGGTTGGCCTTGCAACACGATGGTTGGCCTTGCAACACTATGGTTGGTCTTCAACACTATGGTGGACTTGTAAAACTGTGGTGTGCCTGCAACATTTTAGTGGACCAGGAACAACAATCTGATGTGCCTGTGATACTATCATGGGGCTATAGCACTATGGTGTGTCTGAAACATGGTGTGCTTCCAGCATTATAGTGAACCTGCAACACTGTAGCTGGTTAGCAGCTCTTTGATGATTTTCTAGCACTATAGTAGGTCTGAAACATTTTGGTGGGACTAACACTTTGATGGGTAGAGGGCCACAACATTCTGATGTGTCTGTAATACTGTGGTGGAGTTTTAACACTGGTGTGTTTAAAGCACCATAGTGTCCCTCCAGCACTATGGTGGGCCTGTGGCACTATGGTGAGTCTGCAAAACTGTGATGAACCTGCAAGACTATGGTTGGCCTGCAATAATACTGAAGTGGACATGCAATACTATGGTGGGTCTGCAAAACTATTGTGTACCTGCAGCACCATGGTAGGTGTACAGCCCTGTGGTGCAAAGCTATGCTTGTCTTCTAACACTATAAGGGGCTTGCAACAGTATGGTGTACCTGCAATGCTACGGTTTCTCTGCAACACTGCAGTGGACCCACAACACCATGGTTGGCCAGCAGCACTGTGGTGGACCTGCATTAGTATAGTGGGCGTACAACACATTGGTGGGTCTGCAGCACTATGACGGGCCTCAAGTACTATAGCTGGCCTGCAACACTATGGTTGGTCTGTAGCATGACCGTGGACCACCAACACTGTGGTGGGCCTGCAGTGAAGCCTACAGCTGTCTTGTGAACATCACCAAATCAGACTGTGCTGAGTTTAAATGAGCTCCTTGGAGTTCTTCTGACAATGATTAAACATTGACATACCCTTGCTTTGCATGGCTTTATTTACATGGAACTCACATTTTATTGCACTTGTTATTGCAGGCCGAGATCACAGTAATTCCAATCTATTGGTGCCCTATTTGTAGAACTTAAGCTGTTAGTTTGGGTACTAAAATCTAATTAGTGTTCAAAGCTATTGTAAAAAAAATCTACATATGTTCATATGACACACATCAATGTTTAATTGCAGGTAGTTATTAAAAACCATATTGCTTATCAGAAGAATTGTGTTATTAATTATAAACCATTTATTGCACTTTTTAGTTACAACATTTTTAATGGCTCTGCAGGGGAAAAGAAAAAGAAGGAAGAGAAGACAGAGAGAAAAGGAGCACCCCTGAATAAAGAAGAGAAAAAAGGAGGCAATGCCAAAGAGAAAGAAGAGAAGAAAGGTGCACTCAAGCCTGCAGCCAAAGACAAATCAGCAGAGGTGGGTGAAGAAATGTAACGAATGTTAGTGACCAGCAGGGGGCAGCAAAGTGTATTTGAGCAGGGAAATCAACAAATGGTACATAACACATGCAATGTAATATTTCACACAGTTATTTACATTGTAAAAAAGTGTAATGCAACATGTGGGATGTGTGTATATATATATTATATAGATATATAACACCTCAAATGTTTTATATATATATGTGTGTGTGTGTGTGTGTGTGTGTGTGTGTGTATATATATATATATATACATATATATATATATATATATATATATATATATATATATATATATACACACCTTCAGCTGTTGTTCTTCAATTAGTTTAAAAAAATACATTTTATTAATTTAATTATCCCTTACTTTTTTTATTCTATTAAACACAGAACATTGAAACAGTTCAAATGGCTCATTCTTTATTCCCCCTACTACTACTCTCTCTCTCTCTCTCTCTCTCTCTCTCTCTCTCTCTCTCTCTCTCTCTCTCTCTCTCTCTCTCTCTCTCACACGCTCTTTCTCTCTACCTCTGTCTCTCTGACTCAGAGGTGAGTCGGGGACTGTTTAGTGGGTGTCATGGGAGCAGTGTGAAAACGTGCACCTGTTCTCCTCTTGCATTCAGCATTCAGAGTGCATACAGTGGAATACCTTCTGTACCCTTACTCACTCACACACACACACTCCTACACACATACTCTCACATAGTCACGACTGACACACACACAAACACACACACACACGTGCATTAAACACACGAACACACAGAGCTGATGAAGTGATGTGAACTGATGATCAAACTGTGCAGCAACAGAGTTGCCATCTCTAAAATCACTACAAAGTAAACCAACAAGATACGTGCATCTAGTAGAGTGAAGTGTAAGTAGACACAGTGTTGAAAAACTACAGAAACACTTTTGGGTCTGATTCACTCATACACATGCTGCATGGGTCAGTGTCACTGCAGTGCTGAGTATGATCCACCACTCAAATGATAACTAATAAGCAGTGGTGATGTGGTGGTCCCTTTCTGTTGATGTAATGGGTAAAGGATGACTAACATTAGGCAGAGAAACAGATGGACTACAGTCTGGAATTGTAGAAATACAAAGTGCACCTATATAATCAGATAAAATGGACAATGAATGTAGATGCAATTTAGGTGTACCTAATAAACTGGCCAGCAAGCGTATGTTATACTATATAAAAAATAATTAAATATATAATTCTTATGACTTCATATCTGGGCACTGTTTAAAAACAAATATGTGTGCTTATGTGTGTGTCTGTGTAGGATCATGGAACCAGTAAGAAAAGGGTTAAAGAAGAGAAGAACGTGGGGAAAGAGAGTAAGGACAGAGAGTCATCCTCCACTGCAGTCAGCCCAGAGGGTGATAACAGCCAACAGGACTCCATCCATTCACAGCTACAGCGCAAATATGTACACACACTACACCAACAGGCAAGAACATTACACCATCCATCTACAACTACAGCATAAACACACACACTACACCAACAGGCAAGAACATTACACCATCCATCTACAATTACAGTGCAAATACACACACTACACCAACAGACAAGAACATTACACCATCCATCTACAACTATAGCATAAACACACACACTACACCAACAGACAAGAACATTACACCATCCATCTACAACTACAGCATAAATACACACACTACACCAACAGACAAGAACATTACACCATCCATCTACAACTACAGTGCTAATACATGCACACAGACATTAACTAACACTGAACTATGTGAGCTATTACAATATTTATTGGACACAAACACAAAACATTACAAGAATATAAAGCATAACAGAAATAAATGGCAGTCTAATATTTTTTAAAAATGATTAAAAATAGATATAATTTGAAAATGGATAGCCAATTTTTATATCACAATACTACATATTAACTTTATTGTAATTAGTGATCAAATACTTTTAAGAAATTTTAAACACATTTCATATGCTATTAAATCATCTGCAGCAGTCGCAGTCTATGTTGTTGTAAAGCTGATAGAATTTCATATCAGTAGTCAATTTTAATGACCTATATAAGTCAGGATAAGAAGTTTTTGAGCCTCTTATTGGTTGACCTGATTAATTCAGAAGATGCTGTTTTTGAAGGCAGTGTGAAGCTGCGGCATTCCCCTGACCAGAACACAGGCCTCTGCTACACTATGAATGGTCCAGTTACAGCTCTAGATTACGTTTTTAACCAGTTTTCGTTTTTTTTCATAATCCATATTGTATTTTACAGACAGTCACCCTGATAGACTTCAAAAACAAGAACAGTGTGATGATGAAGTTGACGGTGTTCGTGAAGATGATAAAATGCCTGTGTGTGTTTCAGGTGTATGTTCTGATGGAGGGGATGATTGATTCTCTGTGTGAACTACTGGATGAGGCTGAGCGAAAATGAAGATGACCTACACAAATCCTACTGAAACAAATCCTCACTAAACAAATCCTGCTAAAACAAATCCTGCTTAAATCCTTCCTAAACAAATCCTACCGAAACAAATCCGACTAAAACAAATCATACTTGAACAAATCCTGCTGAAACAAATCCTACTTAAACAAATTCTTACTAAACAAATCCTTACTAAACAAATCCAACAAACAAATCCTATGTAAACAAATTCTTACTAAACAAATCCGACTAAACGAACCCTACTAAAACAAATACTACTGAAACAAATCCTTAGTAAACAAATCCTTACTAAACGAACCCTACTAAAACAAATCCTACTTAAACAAATCTTTAATGAACAAATCCTACTGGAATAAATCCTTACTAAACCAATCTTATGAAATAAATCTGAACAAATCCTATGAACCAAATCCTAACTAAACAAATCATACAAAACAAAATCCTACTTAAACAACTTCTTCCTAAATAAATCCTGCTTAAACAAATCCTTACTAAACAAATCTGACTGAAATGAAACCTACAGTAATACAATAAATCATACTAAATCGTTACTAAACACATTCTACTAAAACAAATCCTATTGAGATAAAAGCTCCTGAAACAAATCCTGCTTAACTGAATCCCACTGAAACAAGTCCTACTGAGATACACTCAAACTAAATTAATTCCCCTAAAACTAAGCTAATATTATTGCAGTGAATCCAACTAAAATATTTTCTCTTTGTCTTCCAATGTCTCTCCACCTCCCTGTCTCCCTGTCTGTTGATGCCTTATTTTGGGCTCATTTTAGTACTGACTAGACAGAACAAATAAACACCACCTTGCCATATGTGCATTCTGCATGTGTTACTGTATGTAGTGTTGTGTTTTTTTGTTTTTTTTTGTTGTTTTTTTGTTTTTTTTTACACCCACCTGCGAATGTGTCATTTATATCTTACAGCCATCCTTCTTTAGTGCTTTGTTCTTTAGGGTCAAACTAATGGTAACTTTAGAGAAACTGTTACTGTCTGCTCAGCTTTAACACATTAAATATCTGTTTGGAATTGAAGACCACAGAATAAACACTTGATTAGACTTGTACACACTTTTGTCTGCTTTTTTAATACAGCAGTCCAGAGATTCAGGATTTCTGCTGGAAAGACTACAACAGAGCAGCTAGACACTTTTCATTTTTGTTCTTCCACACCAAACTTACCCAGCCATGCCTTTATGGACCTTGCTTTGTGCACTGGGGCTCAGTCATGCTGGAACAGAAAAGGTTCTTCCCCAAACTGTTTCCACAAAATTGGAAGCATAGAATTATCCAAAAAGTCTTGGTGCTGAAGCATTAAGATTTCCCTTCACTGGAACTAAGTGTTCTAAACCAACCCCTGAAAAAACAATCCCATATCATTATATCTCCTCCACCAAACTTTACAGTTGGCACAATGCAGTCAGGCAGGTAATGTCCTCCTGGGATTCGTCACTCCACAGAATGCGTTTCCACTGCTCCAGAGTCCAGTGGTGGCATGTTTACACCACTCAATCCGCCTCATGGCATCGTGCTTAGTGATGCAGCTTGCATGCAGCTGCTCGTCCACAGAAACCCATAACATGAAGCTCCTGGCACACAGTTTCTGTGCTGATGTTGATGCCAGAGAACGTTTGGAACTCTGCAGGTATTGATCAGCAGAGTGTTGGTGATTTTTATGCTCTGCTCCTCAGCACTCGGTGACCTGCTCTGTAACTTTTACGTGGTCTGACACTTTCGTGGCTGAGTTCCTGTGGTTCCTAAATGCCTCCACTTTTCAATAATACCACTCACAGTTGATCGTGGAAAATGTAGGAGGGAGGAAATTTCGTGAACTGACTTGTAGCAACAGTTACAGAACCATGCTCAAATTCAGTGAGCTCTTTAGAGTGACCCATTCTTTCACTAATGTTTGTAAAGGCAGGCTGCATGGCTAGGTGCTTGATTTTGTACACCTGTGGCAAAGGGACTGAATGAAACACCTGAATTCAATGCTTTAAGTGGTGTGTCTCAGTACTTTTTTACATAAATATAGTGTATGCATATAATTATTTATATTAATGTGTATGGATAGTGGCATAAAAAGATTATAAACAAACCAATCAAATGAATAAACAAATTGTAGATTTAAGAAGTCATTTTTTTGTGATTTTTTTTTTTCTGTTAACCAAGCAGCTGTTTATCACAATACTACAGAATTGAAGGAAATCAGAAATATTTTCCTCCCTTTTCCTCCCTATCTCACTGGTCCATCCATCCCCTTTTTCTGTACTTACAATTATAACAATTTACTGAAAAAAACATAATGAAAAAATGATTTAATAAAAAAAAGAAAAGAAAGAAGGATGTTAGCTGTCCATCATAACATTCGATCCAATCTTTTCATCACATCACAACAAATACAGTGATAATGTTATTAGTGGCCCTACAGACCGTTCCTGAAATGATGTAGAGCTGAGAGCTGAGCATTTGGCTGCTAGTGTTGCTGTCTCAGCTTTTTTTCCAAGCAAAACATTAAGTTTATCAGAGTCTGACAGAGAAAGGAACACATTATTTATTTATTTTTTTTTTTTCAAACTGCTCAAAGAACACTTCTCTGATTGATTGGTGTTTTGGGCGGTGGAGGAGGAAATGTGTTTTGTCCTCTGTTTGCATTAGCATCCACCTTATTCTAGATTTTGTTAGGATTTTCTTTCCTGCACTTGTTTGATGTCTCATTGTATTTGAGAGCGAGAGTTTTGCCAATTAGTTAGATGCTGTTTGTAGAGGAGGAGGAGGAGGAGGAGGAGGAAGAGGGGTTTAGATGCTGAGGCTCTGAGCTGTTGGCTGAGCAGGCAGAGTGGGTGAGGTTGTGAGGACTCTTGTTTTGCTCAGGTGAGCAATTGGAGCCCAGTTCCCCACAGACTCTGCTGAGAGTAATGTTCTGTAGTGGGCAGTAGGATAAGGTCATCAGAAGAGAGCAAGCAGCTGAACTCTCTCTCTCTCTCTCTCTCTCTCTCTCTCTCTCTCTCTCTCTCTCTCTCTCTCTCTCTCTCTCTCTTATCCCCCCTTCCTTTCTCTCTCTCTCTCTCCCTTCTCTCTCTCCCTCCTCTCTCTCCCTCCCTGCCTTTCTCTTCCTCACTCCCCTTTCTCTCTCTCTCTCTCTCTTATCTCTCTCTATCTCTCCTTTCCTCTCTTTCTCTCCTCCCTGCCTTTCTCTCCCTCTCTCATTCTCTCCCACTTTCTGTCTCTAACTCACTCCCTCCCTCTCTCTCCCTCCCTGCCTTTCTCTCCCTCACCCCCTCTCTCTCTCTCATTCTCTTTTTTCTCCCATTCTCTCTTATCCCTCTGTCTCTCCTTTCCTCTTTCTCTCCTCCCTGCCTTTCTCTCCCACTCTCTCATTCTCTCCCACTCTGTCTCTATCTCTCCCTCCATTTCCCTCCTTCTCCCTCCCTCTCCCTCCTTCTCTCTCTCTCTCTCTCTCTCTCTCTCTCTCTCTCTCTCTCTCTCTCTCTCTCTCTCTCTCCTCCTACACACCGTGAGTGAGTGTGTACCTCTTTCTCTCTCCGTGTGTGTGTTTGGCTCGGCCGCTGCTTCATTAGCCCACCGCCTCGCTCTCCTGCAGCATCGGCGTGAGAGGCAGAGAGAGACGGAGAGATGGAGGTAAGGAAATGCTGCATTTACCTGCACTGCTAATGCTAACCCTGCTAAAGCTAATGTATTCGTGTATGTGTAGCCTGAGTGCTCCATGTGATCTCGCTCCAGCGACACAGCTCTGCCTCGTTTGCTGCAGGGACCTTGTTCTGTCCTCATGGCTCAGATTTATAGCGTAAACCAGGCACATTCAGTGCGTCAGTGAGACAGTGAAAGCTTCGCTGCCAGAGCTACGGGAACATTGCGCTAGTGTTGCTACAGGAAGGTTTCAGCCTGTTTTTTATTGATTACGGGAAGCCTTTATGTATGTGATGACATCACACCATCACCGACCCACCACTACTGTAGAGAGGGACTTCACTCAGGCAGAAAAACCTCTCACTAACCACAGACCTCCATCGTGCTTATAGTTCAGTGAAACCGACAGTTCAGTGAGAAATCACATGTACCCAGTTTCCTCCCTTTCCATAAATGTAGTCAATCAGCCAAGACATGCTTGGTGTCTCAAGTTTGCTTCTTTAGTTTTCTGCAGCTACCACACTAATGTAACTATCAAGTAATGGGGGCGTAGACTTATATAATTACCTAGAGGAAAAAAAAAAGTCTTTCTTAAGATTGTCTCAAAGAAACAAATCAGATCTCAATATTGTATTAAGAAAGGATCACTGATTTCTGAATTCTTTCTTCTGAACGCTTTATAAGAGTAAGGAGGTGATTAACGTTAGCGTTTCATTGTAAGAGGTTCTGGAGCTGAATGGGAAAAGTGTGAGTTCTCTGTCTACACTGACAGACTGCTGAAAAAGTTCTGTGATTATACAGTGGTACAAGTTTGTGAACCCTTTAGAATTTCCTATATTTCTGACCTAAAACCTTATCAGATTTTCACACAAGTCCTAATTGGAGATAAAGAGAACCAAATTAAACAAATGAAACCAAAATATTAGACTTGGTCATTTATTTTTTGAAGAAAATGATCCAATATTTCATATCTGTGATGGCAAAAGTATGTGAACCTTTGCTTTCAGTGTCTGGTTTGACCCCCTTGTGTAGCAATAACTGCAGTTAAATGTTTCCGGTAATTGTTGATCAGTGCTGCACATCAGCTTGGTGGAGTTTTAGCCCTCCATACAAAACAGCTTCAGCTCTTATTTTGGTGAACTTCCTCCCATGTACTGCTGCTTCAGGTCCTTCCACAACATTTCTATAGGATTAAGGTCAGGACTTTGACTTGGCCATTCCAAAACATTAACTTTACTCTTCTTTAAACATTCTTTGGTAGAACGACTTGTGTGTTTAGGGTCGTTGTCTCGCTGCATGACCCACGTTCTCCTGAGTTCCAGCTCACAGACAGATGTCCTGCCATTTTCCTTTAGAATTTGCTGATATAATTCAGAGTTCATTGCTTTATCAATGATGGTAACCCGTCCTGGCCCAGATGCGGCAAAACAGGCCCAAACCATGATACTACCACCATCATGTTTCACAGATGGGATAAGGTTTTTATGCTGGAATGCAGTGTTTTAATTTCTCCAAACATAACATTTCTCATTTAAACCAAAAAGATCTATTTTGGTCATCTGTCCACAAAACATTGTTCCAGTAGTCTTCTGGCTCGCCCATGTGATCTTCAGCAAACTGTAGACGGGCAGCAATGTTCTTTTTGAAGAGCACCGTGTTTCTCCTTGCAACCCTGCCATGCACACCATTGTTGTTCAGTGTTCTCCTGATGGTGGATTCATGAACATTAACATTAGCCACTATGAGGGAGGCCTTTATTTGCTTGGAAGTTACCCAGGGTTCCTTTGTGACCTCGCAAACTATTACACACCTTGATTTTGGTGTGATCTTTGTTGGTCAACCACTCCTGGGGAGCATAACAGTGGTCTTGGATTTGTACATAGTCTCTCTGACTGTGGATTGGTGGAGTCTAAACTCTTTAGAGATGGTTTTGTAACCTTGTCCAGCCTGATGAGCATCAACAACTCTTCTGCGGAGCTCCTCAGAAATCTCCTTTATTCATGCCATGATACACTTCCACAAACATGTGTTGTGAAGATCAGACTGTGATAGATCCCTGTTCTTTAAATAAAACAGGGTGGTCACTCACACCTGATTGCCATCCTATTGATTGAAAACATCTGACTTTAATATCACCTTCAAATTATCTGCTAATCCTAAAGGTTCACATACTTTTGCCACTCACAGATATATAATATTGTATCATTTTCCTAAATAAGTAAATCTAAGTCTAATATTTTTGTATCATTTGGTTCTCTTTGTCTACTCTTAGGACTTGTGTGAAAATCTAATGAGGTTTTAGATCAAATTCGGCAGAAATATATAAAATTCTAAAGGGTTCACGAACTTTCAGGCACCACTGTAGAATTGAGCTGTATAGGGAAACGATAAGATCTTACACTTTTCTTACGGAAATATCATTCAGCTAAGACTGGGGTGAATGGCGAGATGAGACCAACACAAGAGTTAAGTCACGTGTGACATTTTTGATCAAAGTGAGATAATCTGAGTGTTATTTCTCAGGAGGAAACAGGAGAAAATGGCTTAGGTCTCACTCTGATTTCAAACAGGACGTATAGCATAGCTGTACAGTTTGAACAATGCTATTGGACAAAGCTATACGTCCTGTTTGAAATCAGAGTGAGACCTAAGCCATTTTCTCCTGTTGCTGAAATTTGGCTCATCACACGTGGCCTAAAACTGCACAAGTTGTCAAATAATCTCTAAAAGACAAGTAATGGAAGCTTATCACTGTTGTCAGAACAAAACCTGATCTCCAAAATGGTAACTTTACAGGAGAAGAAAAAAACCTACTTTACTTTTAATGTAAGTCAAAGGAATCCGACTGTTTGACAAGTCATTTTTGGCCATTTTGGAAATTTACACACAATGTAAAGGACAACAGTCATTTTCAAATTATGTCAAGAACTGAAAAAATGGAGATTTTTCCTGAGGTTTTGTCCCAACAGCAGCAATATGCACACCAGTTAGCATGGCATACCATAATCTATAAACATATACAAACAAACATTTTTAGCTATGCTAATGTGATTTAATCCATGTTTACAGATAACAGTATGTCATGCAGTATCACAGTTAAGTCTATTAGAGATTACTTCACAACTTGGTTTGGGGCAAGTGTGTGATGATTTAGATATGCAGTTAGCATCATGCTAACTCATAAGCTTGCCTTACATGCTAGCTACATTAGCTCCGTAGCTCCAACCAAACTTCAGATGCCTAACATGTCTTGGATGATTGACTACATTTGGGGTAATTTTACTCAGTTTAGAATTTACTACTACATTAAGTGCTTTTTCATATTCAATATAGCATCAGAAAGGGTTTTGCTGTTGTTAAGCTGTCAATCTTGTAACAGTAGAACCCTTTTTGGTGCTGTATAGAACCCTATACAACACATTCTCCATCAATCTGAAGAACCATTTCACCATGCAAAGACCCATTCAAGCATGAAAATGGTGTTACTTCATGTGCAAGCATGTATCACAAGTCACTTCATGCGAGTCCGAGTTGAGTTTCTGGGATGTGACTCTGAGTCCAGTCTTGAGTCCTTATTCAAGAACTTTGAGTGAAGTGTCATTATTAGCTGCACCGTGATGTAGTAAAGTAAAGCCAACTAAACACCTTTTATTAAAGAAAACCTTCAGTCTGATAGACAAAACTGAAGTGCTACACTCAGTAAATGCAGTGTTTTAAAGGAAAAACTGTCTTTGCTGAGTGTAGCACTTGAGTTCTTGCCTTCTCTCAGAAGGCTGGTGGTCCTAATTTAATGAGTTTTGTCCAGATTTTTCTCAGGCTGAAATTTCAATTTTAAGTTGCAAATCTGAGTCGAGTTCCATGGTTAAAATCTGTGTATTCATGTGCAACAAAGCCAAACAGATCATTAGAAAGAAGACTTTATGAATGGATATCTGGTAAACCACAGAGAAAATAAAAAAAAACAAAAGCATTGTGCATGACTGTAGCAAAAATGCCAGAAGGTCCAACAGATTTACTTGTAGGTGGTCCTGTAGGTGCGTGGTTAGTTTACAGTTGGTGGTCCTAATTTATTGAGTCTTGCTCAGTTTTTCCTTTTCTCAGGCCCATATTTCAGAAGTTTTAAGTTGTAACGAGACAGACCTAGTCAGAACCCTGTGATTAAAATAAACAAATGAGGCTTCAGTGGTCAAAAAACAGATGAAGGTCAGATCCAAAAGAAACCAAATACAGACAAACAAAGTCCAGGCAAGCAATATCCAAATCGGGAGCAGACAAAAAAGGCAAAGTCAAAAAATCCAGAAGTCAGATACACAGGAAGTCAACCAAACGTGGGAAAGAACACTCAGTAGCTCTATGAAAGAAGCAATACCTCACACTGAACTAAGCTAAAGCCCAGACTTATATAGTAACTAAACAAATCACAAGATGAAAGCAATAGGTGAGGCAAGTCAGTAGTCAGGTAAGGCAGATCTCTGATTGGTGGAATGTTGGTGACATCATAGTCACATGTTCTCTCAGAAGGTTCTGGGAATTGGAGTCCACCTCCTGGACAGTCAAAGCTGGAGGGATGTGTGACATAAGTCAACATGTGACTCAAGTATGACTCAAATCTGAGTCACTGATTCAAGTCCCCTTTTCTGCCTCATGTTGTGTTTTTATAGCATTTAAATAGAAATTGGGCTGTAAATCTAGAAGCTAGAAATGGGCCTTAAATCTAAAAGCTAAACTGGTTACCTTTGTCCATTTTACCGATACCATGAAAAAGAAACCACAAGCAAGCAAGTCTATTTGAGATTACTTAACAACTCAACATAGTTTGAGGCAATTGTGTGTTGATTTAGACACACTAATTGGTGGGGTATTAGCTAACTACATTAGTCCCAGCGGAAAACCAAAGTAGCAAACCACAGGCATTCAACTGTGCCTTGGCTAATAAACTACATTTGGGGTAAGGAAGGAAATTGTAAAGCCATGTTAGTATATTTGTTTGA